TTTGATAGGATTATTTGACTTGCTCTTCTATCATTAATAGTATGTATATTTTTTTTTTGGCCCTCTATATATAATGTATATTTTTTAGAAAATAATTATTTATTATAATAAAAATATAGTCTATATATTGTCTATGTGGTATATAAGCCTCTTAATTATATCTTGATTAATTTGATTTTTCTATTAATTTATTTATAAATTTATATATTAAATATATGTATATATATATATATATATATATATATATATATATATATATATATATATATATAATTTTACAAATTGGCAAAGCCATTTTGTGTTGTTTCTTAAGATTGTTGCTTTTACATTGATCTAGTTATTTTGAGACCTACTTGTGACATATGTTCTTTATTACTCTACTAACTATATCTAAGAAGCCTTTTATACTAATTAATAATAATGTCTAAATAAATTTTGTTTTACTATAAAATATTATTTGAGTTACAATGGCTACAATAGCCAAAAATTAAGTTGCTTATCAAGAATATACTAAGATTGTATTTAAAAATTAAATATTTTTATATCTTCTATTGTTATGCCTTGACATTCTTATGTTATAAAAATATTAATAAAAATCTAAAATCTATAAAGAAAATTTAATTACAAATTTAAAAGATATTTTTTAAACCTTAATAATTAATAGATTGAAATTAGCTATAAGATTTATATTTTATATAGTTTATAGTATTAAAAGACTTCTATCACTTGAGTAAAGCTACAAATGGATCAAGTTGACGTAGAATATATGGAAAAATAGTAGAATTTTTTCTAAAACAAAATAAAACTTAAATTCTTGTGAAATAATTAGAAAAATGGTAGGATTGATACTTAAGTAATAACCATATAGAAGGTAGAATTGAAATTTGATCTTCAATTATAAAAACAAGAACTTGCAACAAATACAAAGTCTTTTAGAAAATTAAGAAATATAATTATAAAACTAGTTTTAAGAGCATTCTAAAAGTATAAGATTTTTAGGATTATAATATAAAAAAGCCTTAAATGAGGTAGTAGAAGTTAAGATTTCATAAGCAAAAAATCATTGTGAGACATAATATTGTGACTTATAATATATGTTTTATATAATAAAAAAATATATTAAATTAACTTGAATTAATTTATACAAATTTTAGTCTTGGTGAAAAAAATACGATTTTTTAAATAGATTATTTTGATATAATATGCTATTCATATATTTAATTTTTATTCCTTATGTCTTTTAAATTATAATTTTGTTAAAAGAAATTATTAAATAATAATGTATATATATTTTAATATATAATATTTTAAAATCATAATTATTAATTCTTTTAGATTTTTCTTTAATCTATTTTTAAATAATTTACGATTATATTAGATTTAATTATATTTAAAAAAAATTACTTAAACATCTAAATTTTTTATAATAATTTAAGTATTAAGATATTAGAAGATTTCATCAAAATATTTTAGCCTTGTAATTGATGAATTTAGAGACTAATTACAAAAAAAATTTTAATTTTTTTTTATTAAATATCTTGATGTTTTTGTTGAAGTCAGTAAAAATAAAATTAAAAATAAAATAATTTATCATCTAGAGGATATTATCTTAATAAAGTTATTAACAATTAAAAGATTGGTTTTTAGGATGTAGCAGGACCATCCTATGAACCAACTATAAGGTCAAGGGTGTCACAGACATATACATGTAAGCCAATAATTACTTGTATAAATAGATAGAAGTAAGTAGAAGTAGGTAAAAGTAAATTAATTGTATAATATCTTCTATAGAAGCTTCTTAGAAGTTTTATATATACTACTTTGACTTTATAAGTATCTATAATTAACTTTTTGGATTAAAAAAGTGGTCAACAAGTTGGCCATGTGCCACACATGTTGTTAGCTTGTGTAGCCCAAACTAACTATGTGGTCCACACATAGAAAAACTTGCCTTGTAAGTCAAGGCATGTGTTCTACAAAGTCAACACATATTAGAGGTCTTATAGAACATCACCATTTAGTCCCTAGTTAGATAGTATATACAGAGACAAGAGTAAAGCCCTCTTTACTCTTGTCAATTCCTTTCTTGCTTCTAGTCTAGTTTCAAGAGTCTCAAGTTTCCTTGTCTTTTGGCAATAAGCCATTCCAGTTTCTTTTTAATATACATACTTCCTTATTTCTATTTTATTACTCTTTCTTTGACATAGATTTTATTGGTTTATACATCATCTTTTAATTCATGTCCTTGACAATAGGCCAAGACTCAAGATTATGAGGATGATGAATTTATTAAATAATATTCAAAGAATAAGTAAGAATATAAAGTATATACTATAGAATATTCTTTTAATAAGTTATATTTCAAAAAATACGTTAAAAATAATCTTTGATGAATGTTAAAGTAAAAAGATGAAAGTTGTCTATTAGAACATCAACCACCATCCATTAGTAAATAATGTTAGAAGTAAGGATTATCTTAATCCATACTTCTCATTGTGTGTAATATTATTGATACTTAGCATTGAGACTTATAGCTTCTCTTTATTTAATATTTTTCTTAAATACTTATTTTATTTTTAAAAATTTTAATTTAAAATTTTTATAAAAAATTGAATAATTTATTTTAAAAATAATACAAGCTACATAATGATTTATAATAGGAAATTTTACAACATTATTATTAAGCTACATTTTTGTAAATGATCTCACTAACAACCTATTTTTAATTAGTATGTAAATATAAAATTTTAAAAATCTAAATTAATAAGATAAAAAATAATATATATATATATATATATATAAATGAATAAATTTTATTTTTATTAATATAACAATATAATCATATAAAAAAAATTAATATATTACTTATCAAAGTATAAAAATAAATAATAATATATTATTTTTTTATTAAATAGATTTAATACAATCATAAAATAATTCTAAAATTTCTTTATATCAATTTTTTTATTAAATTTCTATCTATTGCAAGGCTTTTAATATAAAAAATTATGTATAAAATTGAAATGTTATAAAAATGATTCAAAAAAATTAATTAAAAATTACTTTAAAATCAAAATATAATTTAAAAATTAATTTTTTTTATTGAATATAAATAAATGAAGTAGAAATGTCAAGAATAAGAATTTAAAAAATACTCATATAAATATAAAAAATTCTTCAAAAATATTAAAAGACAAAAAAATTTAAGTATATATACTAAAAAAGAAACTGTAATGGCTATTGCCAAAAGAAGAAAAAACTAGAGATTCTTGAAACTAGACTAGAAGTAAAAAAATAATTGAAAAAAACAAAAGAGACCTTGTTTTTGTCTCTATATATATTATCTAACTAGGAGCTAAGTGGTAATATTCTATAGAATTTCCAACATGTGTCCAACTTGCAAAATACATATCAAACTTGCAAGATAAACTTTATATATGTACACATGTTATATATATAACAAGTATTAGATAGAAAATAAATGTAGGTAGATTTGATAATATCTTATGGTGAAGCTTCTTAGAAGTTTCATAGATGTAGATTTGATTTTAGACATGTTTGTAGTTGATTAGTAGGTTTGAAACTTGACTAATAAGTTAGCCACATATTGCACACATTGGTAGCTTATGATACAAGCTAACTATATGGTACATATATAGGAAACTTCTCTTGCAAGTTAGATACATATCTTATAAGTTATATATGTGTTGAAGATCTCATAAAATGTTGCCATATATCTCCTAGTTAGAAAGTATATATAGAGGCAAGAGTGAGGCCTTCTTATCTCTCGTGAACAACTTTCTAGTCATTTGTCTTATTTCAAGAATCTCTAGTCTTTTTGTTTTTGGCAATAGCCATTCTAGTTTCAATACTATATTAATTTTGAGTGATTATCTATTCTTTTTGAATGATTCAAGAGAGTATTGAGATTTTATTTGTTGTGATTCATATCCTTAATAATGCCACATGTCCAACTTATACCACAAGTGGCCAATATGTGCAATACATGGTCAACTTTTTGGCTAAGTTTTTAACCTATGAATCACCTATTGACATGTACAAAAGCAAAGCCGTATTTATAAAGCTTCTAAGAAGCTATTCTACAAGTTATTATCAAATTTATCTGCTTTTATCTACTTTTATTTATTCATATTATATAGATAATTATTGGTGTAAATATGGATGATTGTGATAAAAATTTAATAACTTCTGTAAGGAAAGATTGTAAATTTTTATGAAGAAAAATTCTTTCAAAAGATTCATATTTGAATTGCCTTACCAAAGAATTTCTTTTATTAACAAAAATAATCTATAATAAAATATAGTTAATAATATATATATATATATATATATAGATACACTTAATTCTAAAGTGATACATTAAACATTTTTCTTGTAAAGAAACCTTTCTTCTTATTTGTTTGTTTGTTTTTTTTATCTTTTGTTGATTTGGGTTCTTCTTCTCATTGATGCAGTTCCTGCTTAGAACTTCTTTCTTTGCACTTATCAACTACTAAGGTATTTGTGCTATATACTATCACAATAACTTGGACTGTATATTTGACGCTATTTGATGTATGAAGTATAATGTCAAATATTCTGTAAGCTTGGATGCCAACAAGGATTGTTAAAAAAAGCCAAGGGCAGTCAACCGGTGACACTTAAGCAGCGTTGAGCATATGCTCCCACCCAATCCGAGAGTGAGCTCGAGCTTTCAGAGCCTCGAACACGAATCTGTCTCTCGCATTTGCTTTGCGCCATCGAGCTTTGCAATTTTGGTTGAATTCTAGACTTGCGCCAGCTCAGTTATGGAGGAACCCAGCGCAAATTCGAAAGGGAATCCTGTGTCAGCGCGTCATGGTTCTGCGTTAAGATTCGCAACATGCATTGCGTGGTGAAGAATGGGCCTCGGGCGTGCTCTGGGGACGACGACAAGGGTTGATTTGTAGCTTCAAGGGAGTTGAGGTTTGGACTTCTCGTGCCTTGAGTAGCTCACCATGTCGTCCTCCGAGATCGTGAAAGTGTCCGAGTTTGAAGAGCTTGCGAAGCAGAAGCTGCCAAAGATGGTATACGATTACTACTCCACTGGTGCCGAGGATCTCTGGACCTTGAAACAGAATCGCAGCGCCTTCGAGCGAATCAGGTATGTTGCGTGCCATCTCCCCACATCTAGAGATACTGAATTTGGGGAAGTTTTGCAATCAAGAATACAATTGTGTTTTGCCGCGCAGAATCCGTCCCCGTGTTATTGTTGATGTAGAATCCGAGAGCCAATGTCTTGGGCTTCACCATCTCCGCGCCCATCATGGTTGCTTCCACCGCTATGCAGAGGATGGCTCACCCGGATGGTAACTGCTCCGATTTTCCGTTGTAGCCACGCCTTCTTCCTTTACACCGACATGCGTTTTCGAATCGAAGCGTATTCAAGTGAGATCCTCGTTCTGTGCAAGAGAATTGGCCACAATCCGGGCCGCCTCAAAAGCCGGCACAATTATGGTATGGTTCTTCACAAAGTAAAGGTCCCTGCACAGCTCTTGCTGTGAATTGCGATGTGGTGATACTCATCGAGTAGAATCGATTGGTGAATGACAGGCACTTTCCTCTTTGGCGACCAGCTCCATGGAGGAGGTGAGCTCAGTCGGTCCCAGCATTCGCTTCTTTCAGCTCCACGTAAACAAGGACAGGAACGTCGTGGCCCATCAGGTGCGCCGGGCTGAGAGGGCAGGCTTCAAGGCCATTGTGCTTACAGTCGATCCGCCTCGTACTGGACGTCGAGAAAAAAAACAACAGGAACAGGTGTCCACTTGGAGTTGTTTCACTGCTAACGTGTTCATTTGCGGAAATTGGGCGATCCAGGTATTTTAACATGAACAGTTATTAGTTTTGCTTCTATTGACGTGCAGGTTCGCCTTGCCGAAGCACCTGACCCTAGCCACCTTCCAGGATGTGGACCTTGGAACGATGGACAAGGTAGAATAGCTTTGTGCCTAAAACCCCTTTGCAGGATCTCTTGCATTGTTTGTGTAGCGCATGGATCTTCGTTCTGAAATCTCCTCCCTCTCGCCAAAATACTCCAAGTTAACTCTTTCCCTTGAGGATGTGTTGTTTGTCATGTAGACCCAGGATGTTGGATTGGCTTCTTTTGTTGCCTGTCAAATCGACAGGTCTCTTACCTGGAAGGTACAAAGCACTAGCACTATCATCTTCCTTTGCAGAGGCCGAATAGTCATTCCATACATGAATTAGACTCCAGGAAACGTCCTATCCTTTCTCTGCAACACGTAAAATGGTTGCAATCCATCACCAAACTCCCAGTCCTCATCAAGGGTATTCTCACCGCCGAAGATAGGAAGTGTTCTCCTAACGACCTTAACCTTGCATACAATAATCAGAATCGACTATTTTCAAAAGACAACCACGTTCCACCTTTACAATGCTACCCCACCCAGATTTTCCAATCACAACTTTTATCTAACGTACCGGAAGTATGATGGTCGCAGCTAGAATTGCCATCTGTAACGGAGCAGCAGGTATCATTGTGTCAAATCACAGTGCCAGGCAGCTTGACTACGTCCCAGCAACAATCTCAGCTCTTGAGGTAGTTGCTTCGTTTTCATCATTTTCACGAGATTCATCTACACATTTTCTTTCATAACCGAAGACTTAGTCAACTCTGCATCAATTGCCAGGTTGTGCAAGTTGCAGCCGGCAGGTTTTCAGTGTTTCTGGACGGAGGCGTGCGCCGTGGTACTGATGTGTTCAAGGCACTAGCTCTTGGCGCATCTGGTGTCTTCATGAGTAATCCTAATCCTAGCAATCTCTCCGTAATACTTGTGTTAACCATAGATAGGGAATGAACCTTGCTCGGCAGTTTTCTTGCAGAAATTCGAAAATCTTTTTCATCTCTTTTCTAATCGACACAGTTTTCACTTGCGAAGATTAGAAGACCTGTTCTCTTTGGGCTTGCTTGCGACGGGCAGCAGGGCGTGGAAAGGGTCTTGCAGCTGCGGAGGGATGAATTCGAGCTTGTCGTGACCTTGGCCGGCTGCACAAAACTGTCAGACATCAACCGATCTCATATCCAGACCGAAGCGGAGCGATTCCGGGCGAAGCTGTGAATTAGCAAAGCGAATCCTCATTTGCTATCAATGCTTGTAAAACTCTTTTTATAGCGCAGACTTCAAACAAGTTGAGTAGTTGGCTATAAAACATCGAACTCTTCAAACATTCAACATTTATTAAGCTGTGGTTCAACTGAAGAACTCCATAAGGGAATATGTAAAATAAAAAGTAATCAAAGGTGGCGAGTTCACATCTTACAACTTTGATTACTACTGCGAAATTGTGAGTATTATTTGGTTGCTGACAAACCCAGAAACTATGGCCTTGGACATAATCGATACTTATTTGCATTACTTTGAAATGTGTATCCAGTAATTGTAGATGCCTATCACAACCTTTGAAGAGAATGGTGTACATGGTCCAGCCAAACAACACCCAACAGAAAAACCAAATATACACCTTGTAATGTTATGAGGATTTGTTGATATCTTAAGACCACCACAACTTCGCTTCTATTCGTATGAAAAAATGAACATTTAAAATGTACATTCATGAAATATCCTTGAAAATAAATGTTAGAAAAAAAAAAAAAAAAAAAAACTCCAAAAAAACTCCAAAAAATGCCCCCATGAAGTAAAACAATACACCTTTGTTTGATACAATAAGTTCAAATTTAAGTAACATGAAGCCAGACATTTCCTTAATTCTTGATGTTTTTGTTTGTTTGTTTGTTTGTTTGTATGTTTGTATAATAATTAACATAATAGATTTAGAGTTATCGAATTTTGTGATGCAAAAGTACCACATAGCTAGTTTTGACCTAATTTATCATGAGATTTTGCAAAGGTCATCGCTTCATCACCACTTCATTGCCTGATTATTCCACCTCCTGATTTCCACATTAAAATCTTAACGAAATGAATCAAAGGCGTTGCCGCCCACAACGACAATGTCGTTCTATGTGTAAGAAAGTGGTTTTGAGAAGCTGGTTGGGTGAATGAGGCAGGCATTGGTTGGTTGGATGCTGGAGGGGAAATGGGGCTGACATTGTTGGGTTATGAGGAGGGAGGGAGGGAGGGAGGGACTGACTGACTGACGTGTGGGGGGGTGTGTGACGGAACGCAGGTACTACTACAGAAGACCTTGAGGGACATTGAAGATCATGTAACACCATGAGAGAAGAAGTAGGTGTGTTAGTGTTAGTGTTGGTGATTGGTGCAACAAAGGGCAGCGTTGTACGTTGCAGAAAAGAGTAAAACATCAGGTCGTAGTGCTGCTGCTGCTGTTTCTGTCACATTTGGGAGACAAATTCAAGCGTCTTGGTGTGTTGATTGTACAGCTGATTGCCATTTAGCGTCGACTTTTTGCAAATTTTGTTCGACAGGAGTTGAAATGATGAATGATGTTTTTCGGAGGCACCTATCTGTCCAGTCTGTGTTGGTCGGGGAGGATTGGAGCGCGGTTTGTGCAAGCAAAAGAGAGGAAGTTGGAAGTAATGTGTTCCGGGAAGGAAAAAGGGATGGGAAAGGGGAAGCATTGTCTCTGGGTTATCAGAGCGAGGTTTCGATCCTCGGACCTGTGGGTTATGGGCCCACCACGCTTCCGCTGCGCCACTCTGATGCTCGGATGATGGCTTATGTGGACTTTTTTGTAATCATAGGATGCTAAATTTCATCTCGTCAACGGAAGCATTGCTGAACATCTCGGGTTTTCCGTTTCTGCCGCGAAGGAGCTGCGTTTGAAATGTTGAACCCAGATCGCCTCTACACTTCGGCGACTGGCGCCGAGTCTTCCGTTGCTGGGAGAGCCTCCAACCTCTCGCGCATGGCCAGTTCAAGGACCCACGTTGTCCTTCCTCGCGTTCGCTCCGCGTGCTGCCCTCCTCTCCATCGCTCAACAGTACAGTAACGATGCTATCTTGCGGCTTTCTCACTCACACTTTGTTCAGATGGCTGACTTGGAGAACAGTTTCAAAACCTTAGTGGAAGGAACGAAATGGTTTTTCTGAATCTTTTGTTGTAAGAGTCTTTTTTGAAGTAGGTTATCGTAAACGAATGTCGTAGTGCTAATGTTAATTCTGTAATTTTTCTGTAAATATTAATAAGTTGAATTGGGTGGTTGAGTACCAATATTTTTTTCCAATTTTCGTTCATTATAATTAATTTATCTTATATGTGACGGACTTCTACGTTTTTACGTGACTTTCCTTTTGTATTTAAAATCCTATTAACATATTTGCTTTCAATAACTTTTCGGTGCTACTTGGTTATTGGAAAGGTATGTAACTACACCCAGCACAATTGTAACTATTCACCATTTTATAGCAAAGCAAATGCCATTCAAGAGCTCATCAAGTTACTACAAGCAATCCTTAAGCACAAGCACAGCAGGTTCTCTGAAGGAGCAACATGGCAACCGCAAGGAACACAAGCAGGGCTAGAATGCGTACTACGTCCAAAGCCCTTCTGTCCGAGGAACTAGTACGTGAAGCTTCTGCTCCGGAGCTGACTGAGACGATAATGTTGTATATAATTTGAAATAGAAAGGCATCTCCCAACGTGGGGGAGTAGCTCAAATGGTAGAGCGCCTGATTCGCATTCAGGAGGTAACGGGATCGATGCCCGTCTTCTCCAAAGACTAGTTTTGATTTTTGCGGTATGATGTTCTTGCTCAACCTACGTATGTGCTGCAGTGAAGTATGTTACGCATTGTCTCCTATTTCATGGCAACCAACGACAACCCTCATCATCCTTCACTCCCTTCTTCACGTTGAATCGGCCCTTCTCCTCATATATTCTTGATACATTCTTTCTCCTTCGTTAACTCAAGATCGTCTTTGTAACCTACCACCACAATTTTCATCACCTACTTTGTGTGCTGTGATAATTCCCAAGTTCTACTTTTATCAAAAAGTAGACTCTTGTTGATTAATCCACCGTACATACTGAACATCTTTAACTGTTCCCGTGTTGCACACTAACTTGGCTAGGAACCTCTTGTTTTTATTACCCTCAGTGTAAAGATAAGATATCATTTTGACGCTCTGCAAATTAAACGTTTTGTTATGTAAAGAATTAAGTAAAGAACATTTATTATAAGGTGCTAGGTGCAATTTCTTTCATAAATCCCGAACCCTACGTTCTCTCTACAAACAACGATAACCTACTTCAAAAAAGACTCTTACAACAAAAGATTCAGAAAAACCATTTCGTTCCTTCCACTAAGGTTTTGAAACTGTTCTCCAAGTCAGCCATCTGAACAAAGTGTGAGTGAGAAAGCCGCAAGATAGCATCGTTACTGTACTGTTGAGCGATGGAGAGGAGGGCAGCACGCGGAGCGAACGCGAGGAAGGACAACGTGGGTCCTTGAACTGGCCATGCGCGAGAGGTTGGAGGCTCTCCCAGCAACGGAAGACTCGGCGCCAGTCGCCGAAGTGTAGAGGCGATCTGGGTTCAACATTTCAAACGCAGCTCCTTCGCGGCAGAAACGGAAAACCCGAGATGTTCAGCAATGCTTCCGTTGACGAGATGAAATTTAGCATCCTATGATTACAAAAAAGTCCACATAAGCCATCATCCGAGCATCAGAGTGGCGCAGCGGAAGCGTGGTGGGCCCATAACCCACAGGTCCGAGGATCGAAACCTCGCTCTGATAACCCAGAGACAATGCTTCCCCTTTCCCATCCCTTTTTCCTTCCCGGAACACATTACTTCCAACTTCCTCTCTTTTGCTTGCACAAACCGCGCTCCAATCCTCCCCGACCAACACAGACTGGACAGATAGGTGCCTCCGAAAAACATCATTCATCATTTCAACTCCTGTCGAACAAAATTTGCAAAAAGTCGACGCTAAATGGCAATCAGCTGTACAATCAACACACCAAGACGCTTGAATTTGTCTCCCAAATGTGACAGAAACAGCAGCAGCAGCACTACGACCTGATGTTTTACTCTTTTCTGCAACGTACAACGCTGCCCTTTGTTGCACCAATCACCAACACTAACACTAACACACCTACTTCTTCTCTCATGGTGTTACATGATCTTCAATGTCCCTCAAGGTCTTCTGTAGTAGTACCTGCGTTCCGTCACACACCCCCCCACACGTCAGTCAGTCAGTCCCTCCCTCCCTCCCTCCCTCCTCATAACCCAACAATGTCAGCCCCATTTCCCCTCCAGCATCCAACCAACCAATGCCTGCCTCATTCACCCAACCAGCTTCTCAAAACCACTTTCTTACACATAGAACGGCACGTCGTAGCCCGTCGCATACTTTCGCAGCAGCCGCTCCACCGCATACCACTCGTTCTTCCCTTGCCCCCGCGACCCAATTCTTGGCACGTGCACAGACGCTGCAATCAACAATCGCATTATCGCTTGAAGGTTAGTGTTTGAGGGCATCAGTTTATGACATAGACGCTATGAGGCTCGTTTGAGGCTCACTAATACGGTTTGAACGTATCCGAAGTGGGTAGTGGAGCTACGTTCCTGAAGGTGATTCACGTTCACATGCGATACTGTGAATGTTTGCAGGTTTCAGTGACCCATCATTCTGTTTAAGAGCTGAAATGATCGAACAATTGTTTTCCCAATCATTAATGTTATAATTAGAAAATGCTCGTTAATGTACCAGAGCGCGCCTTGGCGGCGGTAACAACTTTGCGAAGGCACGTTTCGAAGGCTGAGATGGAGATGTCACTGCGAGGGACCTTCCTTCTGCGGCTGTAAGTTTGAATTACTGCTACTCCAACAAATCTCCTATCTCCTGCAACGGCAAAAGCAGTTCTATCAATATAAAATCCTGGATATCATCGAGGGCTTTCTTTCTGACACCATGCATAGCTTCATCAATACAGGTTTCCATATCGGCGTTTCCCGAGCTGTAAGCACTCAAGATGAGAAGTGTTCGACGGCGAGGTTGCAGAAAGAGGGTGCACACCAGGTAAAGGAACTAGATGAAAATCACCAAGGTGCAAATCCTCAGCTTCATGAGCTGCTTCATAAGCTTCTGGAATCTTGAAGGAAAGCTTTGCAACAGCATTAAACATTCCTCCACTACCCCACACTCCAGAGTCATCGACGAATCTGGCCACACGACCAAAACACATGGTCAGACAAATGTCCCAACTGTATTCAATGCCATGCTAAAGTTATACCAAGACATATAAAAGTACAAGTATAGATGAACAAAAATATAGTACTTGAGAGAAACAAAAGTCTAAAATAGCGCAGGATAGGTCATCACTAAGGAAAGAGAAAATGTGATATAAATTAGTTGGATAAAAAAGTGAGCACGAAAGTGATATGAAGTATACGATAATATGATGCAGGGTTCGTCTGGGCGCGTTGTCACAGGAACTGTGCAATCGCCAATCACAAAATGAACATCGCTGCCCACGTTGTCACTTGAAAGAGCTGGCTGAAGTCCTGCACCAGGATCGTCAATGGCTAATGTATGATATCCAAGTGATTTCCATTTTGCGTGTTTCTTATCTTCTGCTTTCTGCCTCTTCTGAGCCCTGGAGTTGTCCTTGTCTGCATCGTCACTCAAATAAGAAGCTTTTACTTTGCGTGTTCGCCGAGTGCTAGGTTCATCTCCATTACTTGCATTCGCATGCACAGCCCAAGATTCCAGCAGTGCTTTATCAGCCGGCTGCAAAAGCCCACATATCTCTTAAGACACCTCTCATCTTAATACAGTAACTGTGGTACAATAAATTTGGGATACATGTGCATTTGTTGTAGGCTAGAATCCACGACGATCGACAAAATCATAGAAGTACCAAATAAACCCTGATTAGAATGAGCGAAAAGCATCATAAAGTAAAGCTGAAAGATAACTGAATGAATTAGCTCTCTCGATATCAGTATTCTGAGGAACCGCAAATATACGTACGAGGGCAAAAAGAACCAAGATACATTTGTACCCAAGTCAAGCCAGCATCCTTCACAATTTCTCACCTTCGCAAAGTCCTTGCCTTCATAATTGTAAAAGTTTTCAGCGCCATCGTCTTGGGCATCTAATGTAACGAGTTCGACATTGCCGAATTCAGTGGCATTTGACAAGCCAGGGCCTGCTTTGCCACGCTGGTTCAACGCAGCTTCCACAATTCTTTCCAGCTCTGAGCTACGACCAACCTCAGTATCTTGGGTAGCATCGGACGAGTGAAGCGTATTAATCCCAAACATTATCATGGATCTCAAGTCTGTCGAGACGGCACTTGCAGGACCATGAGTTTCCAAATCCGCATCGTCCCGCCCAATCACATTGCAAGTGAGCTCTAGTTTCTTTTTTGCCCTCCTCATTATCACCTGTATTAGGAGATAAGCAAGCAACAATCCAAGCGTCAAAGGCATGAAACGCACCATCACAATCCAATCCAAAACAAAACATTGTCACAAGATTCAGAAAAGTTGGAGCCGATACTTCAGATCTTAATACTCAAAATTACAATAGTAGAGGAAATTTGAAAAATATTTCAACAGTGCTGGTATGAATATTTTTTCACAATTTTGGGAACAGTTTAATAGCAATTATTCATGGCAACCACGTCCCACTTTTCATTAGGAACGCTGTAAACACGCTCTCAGCAAATAAAACAGTCGCATATGCAATCTCTTGCTATTTCCTGATTCATATTTGATTCGAATTCCTAATTAGTGAAACACTGACCTCGTCAATTGTGTGACGTGTAATAAGATTAATAGCCAATACAGGTGATATCTGCCCTATTCTATGTGCTCGTTGCAACGCCTGCTTGTCAGCTTGAGGGTTCCAGTCTTGCTCGTAAAAGATAACCTATGCCATGGTGTCACACTCAGCCAAAAATTAGGCCTTCACACATGTGACATTGACTAGCTTGGTGTGAAAGGTCGATAAGCTTAAAGATTGAACACATTATCCGAAGCTATATTTGGTGTCCTCTTAAACCTATGGAAACCTGTACAAAAGAGACTAGTGAGTGCAAATAATACTTATTTCTCACAGCAGGTCGATTAGCATCTGTGCATCTGATTCCCAGAGACAACTCCCAAACATTATCAACCTGAATTTGTCACTTAGTTCTCTCCGAAGCATTGTTAACATGGAAAGAAGTCTGTACAGCTTCGCTGTTGCTCTAAAGAGATCCGAGAGTTCTTCGACTGTGCTTTCCAAACTGAACGCATGCCAAAACCTTAAGGCTGAGAGAATGCTTACAGTGTCTGCACCGATGAGGTTCAAGCCAACACCTCCTGCACGGGTAGTGAGCAGAAACACAAATGCGCTGCCAGACTTGGCATCACCACCACATTTCGAGTGACCTGCGCTAAAGCTGTGAACAGCGTTAAACCGCTCCTCTGCACGAACTGAACCATCAAGGCGTTCATACGAATAGCTCCGATACTCCAGGTAGTCCTGAGTTTAGTGTAATCAAATTTCAAGATAACTTAGTACGAATTGGTACAATCGTAATGAAAGTCACGAAGAAGGCCCAGCCTGAAAAGTTCTGCAGCGAATGTTCGCGTTCCAAGTGTCCAATTCCAGTTAAAGTTAAAGTTACCTTCTGGCCTCACAAATTTCAGTTCTCTATTGTTTGACACACGATGTTCATGCAAGACTGGGCTGATTATGCCAGTGGTGGTTGATCAGACCTGAAGTATGTCCAGCGTGCGGGTCATTTGAGCAAAAATAAGAACACGATGACCACTAGCATGCAGCTTTTTCAGGATCACATCGAGCATCTTCAGCTTTCCACTAGCCTGATCCAATTTTGAGTCCACCATCCATTGCAAGATTCAGTTCTTAGTGAAACATACTATGGGCTATTTTTCGAAACAAGGTGTTAATAAGAATTTACAAGGTATTTGAATAAAATAAGCCATATTTCATCAACTTGAATACATCTGAAATCAGTCAAGCAAAATGTATCAAAGGATTCAGAATTAGCGGGATATGGTACTCCCAATCTATGCAGATATGGGGAAGAAATGATACCTCAACAATGTGCTCACCCTCTTGAAATGGTTCTGGTTCGATCCCATCAAAGAGATAGGGATGGCTGCAAGCTTTTCTTAACTGGATAACCTGGACAATCCAACTTCTATCCGTAAGAACATGACATCTATAATATGTGATTTAAATGACATAAGGTCTCCACATTTCTACTAAAAGAAACTTCGTCAATCTCAAATACTCACAATATTCTGCAGTGACGTTGCTGTTCCAGGACTGTCACCGATAATCTTTGGAGATTCCTTCTTCAATACTGAGACGTACACTTGCTTCTGAATATTAGCCATAGGAGAAAATCTGTCCACCACAAGAAGACAAGTGAGGGATAAGCATTTCGTATCGAAAGACTACTAAGTTTTCAAATGGTGTAAACCATGAGACGAGATCAAGTCGGACATCTAAATATAAATTACTCCAAAAACATTCCAAGGGTCCTTCAATTTACTTGCATTAGCGAACCAAAGACCCTTCCCTAAGATTCACGTCATCTTATCAAATTTCATCCTTAACAAATGAAAAGGTACTGTAAATTGAAGTGGAATTCGGAGTGTACTCACATGGTAACTTCAGTAAGAGGGGGAAGAACAAGAGCCTTTGAGTGAACAAGAGCAGCTTTTGTACGTCTCAGCATAAAAACTTTGACAGTTTCCCGTAGAATTGTCAGAATTGAGTCTTCCTTATCAACAATTTTGTCTCCATCTGTCATATCGAAACATGGAAAGAAAATTCAAATAGTGCACAAACAAAAACAAGAGGGTAATGTAGCAAATTTTCTGCAAGTTACGAGACAAATAAAATATGTGGACTCCTCACCTTTATGTGTAGCAGCGGCAGCTGGCCCGAAAGCATCAAGAAACTCTTCTACATTGGTAAAGATTAAAGGCATGCAAAAGTGTAGCAATGCCCAAAGTTCTGAAAGGTTGTTTTGCACTGGGGTTCCGGTGAGCAGCAAGCGTCGGGGTAACATATACTGCTCGTCAAGGGTTTTGAAAAGCACCTGCACATTTTTATCATCAAGTGCTGGAATCATAAGTAAATTGTAGAGTACATAGCAGAACTTCTTCAACGCGCTTCATCTGGATGTGCATTAGCCGCTTTGTATCGAGTGAAGGAACAAGAGATAGACCCTAAAACAAATTCCAATTCAACTTCCACAAATGTATCCACATCATCCAGTCTCAAAAATCAAAATGGCAGAAGTTAAGGTAAAAGGTAATTTTAAGTTTCAGAACTTGGAATTCTACATTGAGAATGAAAACCAAGCTTAACAATTGAAGGTAAAGTAATTTTGTCAGAAAAAAATGTACAAGACGTCTTTTGCAAGTACAAATGGAAATCATACACTGTCAGCATTTTTAAGGCGTTGAGCTTCATCAATAATAGCATAACTCCAGCGTATACGGCTTAAGAATGATACATCAGCCATCGCAAGCTCATAAGTCGATAGAAGTACATCAAACGGCAAATCTGGATTTGTCTGCAAGGGCTCCAAAAAGCAGATATCATTGTGAGTGAAAATGGAAGTGTTCACAACCGAAGGTGACCCAATGTACATTTTGAAACAGATCCTTCCATACTGAAAGATAGACCATCCACAAATTCAACATTACAATAAAAGTCGAACCATCACTGAAAGGTTGCATGGAGAGGATCTCAGAACAACTAACATCAAAAAGTAGCTATGCGAACCACACATAATTGTAAAGCAGAAGGATGAATCAGACCAGCATCTGGCCAAGTTGTCCGATTGAACAGCTTAAGAAGCTGTCATCAGATTAGAACTACATACTTTCAGTGAACAATTCCTCGTGAAAAATGATGTAAATTAGGACCGTATTAAATCCTACCCGAGCAGACGGGGCCTGCTTATTAACGTGCTCGCTGATACTTCTGCGTAACTCTTCTCTCTCTCCTTTGTTTCCAACATACCGCAATACCCTCAACTTTGGCGCAAATCTTGCCATCTCCAGAGCCCATCCTTCTGTTACGCTCAATGGGCATATCACCACTGCCAGAATAGTGCCAATTATAAAATCCACTTCAGTTTTCGGTATTGAATATGAAATGATGAGGCTGGTTCTTCAGAACTGTATAGATGATTAAAAATAAAGTAATCCTTCAAGAAAAACAATGCCATCAAGAAAAATTGGCCACTTCACAGATGGAAACATTCAGAATAAATTCAATTGCCCATACTCACTGATTCATTTATAAAATCCGTAAACTAATACCGTTACAGCTCAATTTTACCTTTGCGGAAGCCTACAGGAGCTTAGGAAATAAAATCAATACATGATACTGTTCTGATGCAGGTGGAACCAGAAGACGCATCAATAAGACAAAACAATGTTGCAGGTCAAAATAGTAAAAGGAAACTTACAAAATGGGCCTTTGCAAGAGCGTGCGAATTTCAAGTACGCAAGCAACACAATGGACTGCAGCGTCTTCCCTAATCCCATCTGAAATACACAATATCAAACTGGAATTTCATTTGTTCAAATGAATAGGATTCTACTAAGACCGAAGACAGAAAGTTGACACCTCAAGCCTTAAACCCTGTCGAGCAACTGAAAGCGAAGACAATTCCTCATTAAAGTTCGCATTCATTCTCTCATGCCTGTCACAAAACACATCCAATAAGTGACCGAAACAATCAGAGCAATATCACTACTTGAGCTGAGAGGAAATTAACACTTTAACCTCGCACACGAAGTATCTAACTGCACCCTAGCATACTCTCAAAGTTCGAGAAGGCGCACCTCATCACCTGCAGATTATCAGTCGACAACATGTCATTAGAATCCTTCAAGTTGCACATCCACGACACTGGTCAAGGATGGCACTGTAATGAAGATCAAAAAACACATATAAAACTTCCACAGTACGACCCACAAACATGTAGATTTTCTATCAAATTCTCAGTCGATTGTCACATTGCAGAAAAACCTACGTTCCAAAAGATAGCCGATTAACGAATAGTAATATCTCTCGTCGAATTCCATAAACAGACGTTTTCCCATCGGGAAACACCACATTAAATTCTGCTTTATCACTTTTCGTGATCGCTTGCCCAAAAAATAAAATCGACGAGATTTGAGTTTAGAAATTCACCCAGAATGACATTGACGCCAAGCACGTAACGGCCAATGAGCCATGACACCCCCTCAGCTTGATGGGGCTTCAGCTCCGCAGTAATACCCCAATTCTTGCACTGGGCCAACACGTCGCCAGCATCACACACTCCTCTTCCATCAAACCTCGTCACCACTCCCACAGCCTCTTGGATGTGCTTCAACGCCTCCATCTCGATCAACTCTATTGCCACAACACACCCTTCCCCAGCAATCTTCCTCTCACACACACTTCACGTTTCACATGGAAAGGACGCAGCCTCTCAAAAACAAAGACACGAACAACTCCGCGGCTTCCTCAACAAGCCATGCACGAGTTGCATCATCGAGGACTTTCATGAATACGGACACGACATTCCTGCTCTTCCTTCCTACGAGAATTACACCTACTCCCCACCTTTTCCTGCCCTGTGGAACAGCGTGTACAACTGTTCCATAGCTCCAACGGTGAATACAGCTTTCGAATTCCGCTCATGGTCTGAAAACAGACAACCCAGTCGCTGCGAAGAAATTTTGAATTGTGGGTCATTTGGGATGGTGATCACACAGTGTGCGAAGTGTTGCTGAAGCCATTGACGCGCGCCATTCTCGACGAGGATTGTTTGTGAAGCTTCAAATCAGTCGCAACACTCTGCCGCCATAATATAGAAACGCGCTCTCCGAACACGGGAACATCAGCCATCCGTTGGTGATATCATTCGTCTATTTCTCATCCACGGTCGCTGGCTCAGGAACCTGTAACCGTGTGATTGGGGTTGCACGCGGTTGTAGGTGTGCCAACTTAGAAGCCATTCTTTTTATTTGAATAGTGTGGGAAGTTAGGATCCTATTCGATTCAAAAACAGGTTCTGAATGGGTTTCCTTTAAAGCAATTAAGTGGTGTGTCTAATCTTCCAATGACTTAGAACTTTACTAAAACTAGTAATAAATAGGGTGTGTTTTTTTTATCAATGGAATAATTAATTATAGAGACTTATTTTTTAGGGTAAAATATCTTAGGTGCTTTTGATGTGTTGGGAGTTAATGGAATATCAAGTTCTTAGAAAAATAAAGTCCCTAGTTCTAATTAGATTCAACAATGTGAGTAGACGAGGGTTCAACAATTAGAGCTATTTAGTATTTGAGGGTTGTTTTACACCCCATGAAACAAACATAAAAATAAATAAGTCTATAAATATTTATCAATTTCGTTTTTTTTAATACTATTGATTTAATTGTTGAATTCATCTCTGAACTAAATATAAAATTCTATATATGTGAAATTAATTACATTTGAATTGAATTTGATAGTTAGGAATAAAAAAGTGTAATTTTTGAATTGGTTTAGCAAAATCATAAAAAATTTAAATTGATAAAACATAATTAACAGTTCAAAGATTTTATTGAAAAGGTTTGTATGAAATCATTATATTTTCAATAAAGACTTATTTTTATTTGGTACTACACCTAAATAACAAAGCATCCAAAACATGAGAAATTCAAACAAAAAGGATCAAATCAAACTTGTACAGCATCCACCTTTTTCTTTTTTCCTTTTTAATTTCCCCCCTATTTTGCATTAAAACAAAATAAAACAAAAAGAAATACAAATAAACAATGCATTGCTGCAAATATGTTTGTTACAAGGATTTTTATTAGTGTCTTAAAGACTCTCTTGATAATATGAACTTTATGTGAACTATAAACTAGTGGATTGTCTTCCGTATGAAATGAAGTGTTGAAACAAAAGTTAAGATGTAAATTTTATTACTTGTAAAATATGGAACTGAAAATTGCATTTAGATCTATTTTTGAATGGCAATCTAATATATTATTACAATCAGGTATTCATAAGCCCATTGTTTTGAGCTTCAAATGTGAACATTATTTTCCAAACCTAAAGGTTGTTCACAATTTGTTGTAGTATTGGGTGTTACAGATGATGCAATCAGCTCATTCTCATCAAATTGCAGTAAAGTAGCATCAATTGGTACCAGGCGTTCTTTTACAGCTTGAGCTTGTAGCATTCTCATTCCTTTTGACCTCACATTCAAAACATCAATTTCACATATTGAATTTTACATTTCTCTTATTGAAATCCATTTATTTTTCTGGAGTCATGGTGTGTGAATTAAATGCATTTCATCAACGCATATGAAACATTCTGTTTTACCAGAGGTAATCAATCACAAAAAAATGAAATATAACACCATATAACAAATGCAACCGTTATTTTAATCAGATTTGAGTAATGTTTTCAAACTGTTGAAAAGTGTATATACATTTCTGTTTTATTTATTTTTATTATAATAATACCTTCAAATTGGGTTCTCTCCATTTCCTTTATGGTTTTTGAAACTTCTTCCCGTGCTAATTCTACAGCTTCATCTCCTCCATTTGCCCTACCACAGTTATTGCATAGTTTACATTTTTATTTTTTGTATCACTAGCATAGCTGCATATATATATATATATATATATATATGCAGTAATTAGCTTTTAGCACATGAGGGATGTGTAAGCATACCAAGCATTAGCATAGATTTGTTCAGTCCAGAACACTGGAGAATGGTCTAAATGCTTTAAACCTGGTAGCATTGAGATTAAAGTCTGTGAACATTCAAATATAAAATGATTTAATATTTGTACTATATCAAATGCAAACAATGCATAATTTTTATTTTTATGTTTAAAGTGCAATGGAACTAGGTTTATGCTAAAAAAACATTTGTAAAGTGGAACAATGTTTTTGAAACTGTACCCTTCGATAGTTTGAAATACTTCTAACACATGGATTTCCAGAAAGATACAAACAAGATAGAAAAGGCAATGTCTTTAATACTTCTAATACATATTCTCCATCCTCTAGTTTGTTGTGTGACAAGTCTAGTACCCTGGTTTACGTATATTGAGTTTGTTCCACAAACGGCTTAAACATATGGTAATAATAATAATAATAATAATATTAATAATGTATCATCATTATGTGTATGTGTATATATAACATTTATTTTATTATAAAAATTACATAGTGATTAGCTGTTTTGAACACCGATTAAGATAAGTGTTCACATATCAATAATTTTTTATTTTTATTTTCATCTTTATTATTTTTTAGAGCCACATAAATATCATTAATATATATACATATATATATATATATATATATTTGTGATTATAACAACCTAATGTTATTGCATTCTTTGAGATGATGTATTGATTCATTTGTCTTGAGATGATTGTTTGCAACATTTAAAGATGTTAACTTTGGACAGCATGATAAATTTTCTAGCTTGGCCAATGCATTGTCACTACAATTTCACATCTTCACAGTATATCATAATTATTATCCAAAATTATCAACAATCCAAAGTATTCATATTTTTATTGAAGGGCATAATAATAAAAATTTAATGTGTGTTTTGAGATCAATTTAAACGAACACATATTTATTTAAATTAATATTCTTTAACATCAAAATTTTTAATATGTATATATATATATATATATATATATATATGTATAGTGTAATAATTTTATATAGCATAATATCTTTCGATTTTAATGTGTGAGTTTAAGCATTCAAAAACAAGTACTGATATAATAAAACGAATTCAAACTGAAACCTGAGGTCAATCGAATCAAGCATCTTTAAATCATTTAAATGCTCAATCTTTTTGATGTTGTTTTTATGAGCGACTCTGTTCATATATCGAAATGTATGCAAAATGTTCAAAAATCAACTTATCTTATCAATTTATAAATTCAAGTAACACAAAGTTTAAAAATTCACTATTATACCAAGTTAAAATCTGATGTGCGTTTTCCAATATAAAAGTTTGTAAAATGTTTAATTTTATATATATAATGAAAAAATAGTTGAACATTTATTTACATACAAAGTACGTAGCTTTGTCATGTGCTGCAAGCCTGTGAGGCTTTCAATGCAGTTACACTCAAGGTATGCAATTTTCACTTCCTGAAATCAAATCAATGATGATCGTGTATAATTATTATATTTTGATACCGATAAATAGGGTTGATTATCATAATAAAGTTATATTGATTCTAATAAAATATCATTCTTGATTATTAGTTTTCAAGACTAAATATACATGAAATGGAAATAAAGTACCCCCCCCCTAAAACAAACAAAAAAAAAATAAAAAATAAAAAATAAACTTATGCTGAATATAACTGTGAAGAAATATCAAACAATGCAATTAAAGAAATGCATAGCATCGTAAATAGATTTGTATTTTCATATCATGAAACAAAAAAATTCTTATATTTATAATTTTTGATTCTTAAATTTGTTAAAACTGTCTGTAATCATACTGAGTTTTTAAAATCCATGAAAACGATCTTACAGTATATTCTTCCAAATTCTCAATTGCCGAGAATCCTTGATTTTGCAAATAAAGTTTATCATTTAAATGTGGACTATGATACTGTTTATACTTTTTACATTGCTCTTGGAGCCAAACTTTGGACATTATTGCGGCCATTTTATGATTTCATTTTGAATTAAAAACACTGCTGAGCCACGTGTTAGGTTTTTTTAATCTGTAATATTTATCAAATATTAAAAAACAAACCGAGTAAATTTTCAATTAAACTTGACCTCATAATGTACTCTGATTTTTATCACAACAGTTTTCGTCCTTTTTATTATTATTTTCAAAAATGGCGATTTAAAAATATAGTTTTTAAAACAAAAGAATAATGATTGAACTCAAAGTGATTTTTAATATTAAAATTTGAATCAAATGAATATTATTAACCTCATTCAATCAATAACTGGTATTCAATCAATACCATTTAATAACCTCATTTAATCAATAACTTTTGTGGACAAATATACAAACACAATTTTTTTTTTATAAGTATATATATATATATATATATATATACATATATGACAACTTGGGTATAATATAAGGAAGCAAAGAAGCCTTTTGATTGGTTGTAAAGAAGGGAACACAAGAAATTTGAGAAATATAAGAACCAAAGAATATAAAAATAAGTAAACATGGAATCAAGAAACATGGTCACCAAAGAACATGGGGATTAAGACACTAGGAAATAAGGAACCATAGAACATGGGAATATAGGAACAAAAAAGTGTAAATGAACAAGAGAATGGATGCATGTGATACACATTGCAATGCCCAATAACACAGGTTTCTACTATTGTAAAATAGAATTGATGTCCAATGAAAACACCAAAAATTGTTTCAAAATCACTAAAACTTGTTCCAAAATCACCAAAATATACATGCTCTTTTACAATGTAAAAAAATATATATGTTGTTTTTCTATGTATGTTGTCTTTTCATATATATATATATATATATATATATATTTTTTTTTATTTTTTTACGATGCACCTCTTCAAATATTAACTATTTTAGTTGTTGAAAGAAATAAGAATTGTAAATGCTAATAGCACTAAATTAGTGTTAATAGTTTCATTATGAATATTTTAATTTAATTTCTTCTTTTTTGATAACGTTTTGATAAGAGTAATTTACGTTTGACTTGCTTAATTAAAATGTTACAACTTTTTTGTAGTTGTGTGTGTTTTTTTCCCTCTAGTATATGTGTCTAAATAAAAAAATAGACATACTAAAAAATTCAGACACAAATATTTCACATTATTTATTGTTTTAGATGATAGAATGTTGTGCATTTTTATTTATGTTTGTGAGATATTATCCTGTAATCATTTTTTATTTTTTTATTTTATTTTTTTAATGCACATATTCATGTACAGTTAATTTTTACCAGTAAAAAACTAGATCACATGGTAAAGTAGTTCTATAATGACAATAAAGCAGTGGAAATAAGAATGAATAGAATGCAATGAAGTGATGGTGGATGCAATTTTGCATTTAAGAAGATATTATAGCACTATTACGTGGATATAAAACAGTTGATTTGAAAATATGCACACAAGAGTTATGTATGGGGGGGTGTGTATATAAATATATATAATATGTAAATAAGTATGTAAATATCCCAAAACCCTAAGCCCTAAACCCTTAAAATAATAATAATAATAATGCATGAAGAAAAACTTGAAAATTCAATTATTGTAAATCAATTAAAAAAGCTCAGGACAATCTTTTTCATGAAAATTTCATACATGACTATATATATATAAACAAAATAATATTAAATATTGTGCAACATTTCTCCTACTACATAGACAAGATTCATTGGTGCTACAATCTCTGCTTGCAACAGTTAAAATGTATATATTTCTGTACATTTTGAAGCCCGTTTAGTCAATTTAGCTGATTCTTCTTTATTACCATCATCCTCCTTTTGCATTCTGCGCTGAAGCTTTTGTTTTTTTTGTTTATTCGAGGACGACATTAGAAACGGAGAGAAAACAATAGACGGAATAGCTGCTGCTGATGAAGAAAAAGAAGCAATTTATGTTTTCTGTGGTGTTTGTTTGTTTGTTTGTAGGCTGTTTGGCTGTGTACCTTAAGCATTGATCGAGAGAGCAGACCCCCCCCCCCTTCCTTCACTTACCCTAACACACACACTCATTCATATATATATATATATATATATATATATATGTTCTTCTATTGCTTTGTTATATATATATATATATATAGTTTTTCTATTGCTATTGCTATCCTTGCTTGCTTCGCCATCCCCTCGCTTTTGCTTTCTTTTGGGCATTGTTACAGATGGGCATGTACCCAGATGGCGAGGCTGGTTTGTGAGGTCACAGCGTTGCAGTTGTGAGAGAAATGTGGCATAACGTTCGGAATTCTTTCAGCTCCAACTGCCACTTTCGAGGGATAACACACGGATTCGGTGCGATGAAGGACGTGATGTTTTACATCACCATGAGGATCTAGACGTGAGATGTTATATGGCACGTCTTGTTTACTTGAGGGAAGCGTCGACGTCTTGTGAATCTGAATCGTTCGATGACGTTAAGGGATCCGTAAAACTGGGAAGCTCTTGACTTTTCTAGAATTTTCTTTGGACATGCACTGGGAGAAATTCCACGTTACGATTTCTGATCGTTGTGTGCAGCGGCAGAAGATTAATTTTAGATCATTGCAAAATTTTAACAAGTGCGATGCATTTGCGATGGTAGAAGTTGTTATTGGTGTTAAGTTGGCGACAGTGTTTTTTTTCTTACAATGCCCTAATTCGATGTCCTTTATTAGCCGGGTGTTTTCTTGTCACAAACTTGACGGTGCTGTGAACAGTGAGAGTGTTTCCTTGCGATCAATGATGCGGCTGTTGAAGCCGATGGAAGACTGATAGTTCGGGTGACGGGAGAGGAGGAAACTCGAGACGACAATTGCCAGCATTGATGTTTTCGCTCTGAGGATATCTGAAACGAAGGGTGATCTTGAGGCGATTAACATCCGATACTCTTTGAAGATTGCAGGATTCGGTTTCAGAAGTAGTAGAGTGTGTGGAACCGAGGAGATTGCTGTGTGCGCGCCTCAATCGGAGAACCATGGCGAAGGAATCGATGCCAACAGACTTTCTTAATTCTCAATTTCTCGCAGCAGCTTGGCCGTATATACTTCTGATCGTCGTTGCTGTATTGTCTCTCCAATTCTTACGGCTGGCGGTGTCATATGTGTTTTCAGCACTCCGATTACTCGTCCGCATTGTCCTGTTAGTGATTTCCTGGCCTATTTACCTAATCCTTTTGCCGGCTCGCGTTTTAGTTTTCTTCACTAGAATGGCGATTAGGATCTTGTTTTACGCAACCATGGCCGCCATTTTGTACAGTCTTCTTGGAGGAGTACTGAATTCCACTGTGATGAAAGAGGCTTTCGGAGAGGCTCTCCAATATCTGCAATCAACTTTTTTGCAGCAATGACGACGCATTCGATATATCATCCGCTCATCTGTAGAGTCGAGCCTAATATGTCAGGAATTTTAATGTCAATGCAATCGATCTTTATATTTTTACCAACGGCTATATAATTTCAGCCCTTGGCTGTCTGCCCATTTTTTCATGTAGCTCAGCGACTGTGCAATATACGATTGTGTTCCCCTACATTCAATTAGAACTTTACATCATTTGTGAATTCCTGTTGTCTTTTGTATTGGTTATTGTTCATGATTGCGCTCTCGGACCTCGTCCTGCTTCAGAACAGATAATATGCGTATTCTCTGGTACAACATGGGCTTAATTAGCAGTCTCGTCACTTGCCCTCAATCCAAAGACCATCAAATTTTTTTCGCAGAAAAGATTGCCTTTCTGGTTCTGAAGGATAAAACGATAGATTGAGTTGGAAATGAGCATATTAGTGGTTGCAAAAATTTGGGTTTGGCTCTGTTTGTACTCTTCTGAAGAGAGCCTAATTACACATACTCAACAACCGCGATGACAAGAGAATTGTTCGATCGAGGTGCTTCTGCGACATTTTGTGATGGTTGAGGTGATTATCAAAACTGGTACATCCAAGTTCCGCCTCAACGTCGCATTTATCTCAGAATCAGCCGCGCAAACCCTCAGGTGTAGATTCATATCTTGCGACCTGGTCAACCGGAATGTGTTTTCTCCTCATCCTGGCAACCTTAAATGCTACTGAAGTTGTTTTGACAGTCGTAACACTGTGAAGAATCGCAACTCCTACAATTCGATATTTGTTTCCATTGTTCGCCAAGGAAGAAATAGTTCGTCCAACAAAGTGACCGACAAGACCATCATACCTGCTTCGCAACGACGACGGAAAGGTATCCGAAACTCCACCTCTTTCACTCGCACGAAAGCTTGCTCTGCTTACGCCAGATGCGCTTGCCTTGCTCCGTAGACGGGGGGCATGTTGCTGAGCAGAGAAGCAAACCATCGTATTCACAGAACTGAGATTCCATTAGATAAGACCACGAGCCGAGAGAGGACACGGCTGGCAACCAAAAGTCGAGTGACAGAATCAACCAAGGCTGTGCAAAGGTACACTTCTCTCTTGCAAAACGCTTGGAGGCTGCTCACGCTAACTTCGAAGCCTGATTCAGCTAGCATAAAAATAAAAATAAAAAAAGCTTCGTCTCCCAGTGATCACCCAGATTTGTAGAAATCACCATGAGCAAGACTCTACGCTCGCACCACAAGTCAAACTTCGTTCTCGCAGAAGTCAGCTACAACGGCGTTAAATGCGAAAGGTGAATGGTGAACAGGTCGATGAACAGGAGGTACGTGGCAGACGACCCTCATGATCAGTGAATCCTGCAAAATTGCAAACATGTGGGTGTTGTCAGCAACGGGGTCGGAATCTGAGTCATGGCATTGGCCTCCATCCTTACCCAAAATGGGTCCTTGCGTCTCATGCCAACACGTCCCTCTTTCGCTCCATGTTTTGACACGTTTTGATATCAGTGACGCGTGGCAAGACTTGGCTCGAGCCTCCTGGTTGCCACTTGGATGGTAGGCTCAGTTTATATATTTGCTTGCTGTATCCGTTTCTGGGTAATATAGAGTTGCATGTTGATTATCAGAACGTTGCTTTCCACAAGAACTTCTTAGAACGTCTTGTCCTTCATAGCCCACTGATCAGCTTCGCTAAGTGGAGTGGTTGTGTTCGTTTTTACTAGTTCAGGGTACAAGGTTTTTAGAGTGTTTGCACAGTCTTTGTCTTGTTGGGTTCGTTTGTCAAGCACTTGTAGGTTCGAAGCAGCTAACGGAAATGAATTCTGAGGGTTTGCAGAAGAGGTCACGGGACACAGCCGATATTGTGCACGATGTCGACCCCACACAGCAGAAGTATGTCGCCAAGGCATACCGTAAATCCGCCGAGGTTGTGAAAAAGCCCGGAATGCCATCGTTGATAGTGAGCTGCGCAATCCCGCTTGTGGCAGGACTGGTGGTGTCCTCGATTACTGGCCCCGACCAGTGGTACAAGGATTTGAACAAGCCGGCGTGGACTCCCCCTGGTCCCATCTTTGGCTTGATCTGGACCTTCATCTACCCCCTCATGGGCCTGGCCTCGTGGCTAGTGTGGGCCGACGGCGGATTCCAGCGAAATGCCTTCCCTCTCGGCGCCTACTTCGTGCAGCTGGGATTGAACCTCATGTGGTCGGTGCTCTTCTTCAGGTTCCACAACATCACTCTCGCATTCGTCGACATTCTGGCGCTCGCCGCCGGCGTCTTCACATGCATCGGTGCTTTCCAGCCCGTCAACCACGTCGCTGCCAACCTGATGAAGATCTACTTCGCTTGGGTGTTGTTCGCTTCCTTCTTAACATTCTCCATCCTGGTGAAGAACATCCATGGAGTGCCTCACCATGAGTAGGTCATGGATTTGGGAAACGGTTACGAAGCTCAATTTTACGGCCGATTTGTAGTTTTCTTTGTACATTAGTCTTTCGAAGGAAGACAGCGTGCATTGGGTTTGAATTGGTGACTGTTCGTGGCTGCCCTTCCGTAAAAAAGTGTAGGAGAAATTCACACCAAAGAGGCTCTGGTACGTGGATACAGTGGAGGAATTTCTTCTCTTGGTTTGGGTGAACCGTTTCTAATCACTCACATTTGTAAAGTGTTTCCAAAATTCGGTCTCAAATCGGCGTCTCTTTCATTATGACATGTGGTTGTACAAGACGTGTGGTGCGGTTCTGTCCTTATAAATCCATTTGTTTCTATTGTTGTCGAACAAACCGCGAAGTTCCATTAATTTGGTGTCTCAACGAGAGTGTAATGTCTTGATGAGGAACCAGGAGTGAATTTAGCTCTGGTAACGATGTGCAACCAATGGCACGTATACTATCTTAAGAAGCTGTTGCGTAATCGCAATGAATGTGGAACAAATCACTGAATGTTAGCACTTAAGCCTAATGCTACCTGGTCTTAACATTAACAATTTACCCGGAGCTAATCTTATCATCGCCATTAAGTACCAAAATCATTGCTCTCAAGTGAAGGAAAAGCTCTGGAATAAAGCATTAATGTGACATTTTAGGTTCTGCATAGTTTTTCTACCACGTATGCAGCCACTCGATCTACAACCATATCACCTTCTAAATTTGTTTTGAAGAGATACTTCACGTAAGAAGTCCGACACATTCCCTCGCAAGACTTCATATCGTAATCCGGAGATGAATGACAGCCTGTTCCGGTGAATTCGACATTTCCAGTACTGGCTAGAAATACGGATTTTAGCCCGTTCAGTGTCAAGTTCCAAATTTCGACATTGACGAAGTAGTGTCATCAAAGGATACTACAAAGATCTTGTTTTATTGGCGAAGTTCCAAAAGAAAGTTTTGAAGTACCTTTTAAAAAACATAAAATTAGTTTAATGGTACTAGAAGTTTGTAAACGTGGAAGGTTTAGCAGATGAAAATTAAGTAAAATTCAGGATAGACCGTGCTCAAACAGAATTGACAAGCGAACCGGTGCAGTGTTCTCATAAATTGCTACATATTTTACAGGATTGGTCCTCTTAAAGACCTTTCCACATTTCAAAAAATTGGCACATGAAGAAGTTGCCTTCATGACCCATCCTCAATGTACTTCCTAAACACTCCAACCGCAAAACATTAGTAGTTCGGTTAGGGATCCGACGCACGGCAGAAGGACAATCGAGTATAACCCATGTACATGATCAACTGTCTATAGGTCACACTATTACTCTACCTACCCGCATGTATACGGCTTGAACACCATCCCTAAATTATCTGTGGTCAAGCAGAAAATGAAGACAAAACCTGCCTCAATATTTGCGACATTGGCAGCTTTGGAGCCTATGTTCCCAGCAGATAAGGGTGCAATGGTGGAGGTCTGTGACGCCGAGAGAGCCCCACAACTCGTCTATGAGCCACAGTTGGTGACGGTAGACTCAGAGGTACAGGAACTATACAGAAAACAAAATCAATGATCAGTACCTTCATCATCTAAAAATGCTTACGACAAAATTCAAGCCACAACCTCTGGCTCTCTGCACAACAGATTGCATAAGACATACTATTTCTTAGCTCTCTGCGGAGAGAAGAAAAGATTGAACTGTGGAGTACGGTAGGTAAAAGTGGTACCTGGAGAGACAAAAGGTTTATTGCCGGCAAAAATAGGAGGCCTCTTTTTAGGAATCAACGGTGGGGCACCTGTACCAAGGCAGTTGAAGTTGATAACTGGCATAAAATGGTCAAAGAAAAGAAATATAACACACCATTGAGATTCTTAAAAGATGATTGAAAGATCAGAAATTACACTTCAAATTGTAAAGGGCTTTACTTGACTTTGCGACCGAGGGAACAGGGTCTGTACAGTTCAGATCTTTCTTGAAAACTTTGGACTTCTTTACCTGCAGTAAGCGTGGGACGAAAAGGATTTAAAACCATGATAATATGATGTTCCCAGACATTGACGCATCTACGAAAACTGCTCCAGTTGACACTTCAGGCCTCTGTTTTCGTGTAGATACCTCTTCCCAAGTACGTGACTATTTTGAACATTCGAGGAGATCGGAGCAAAAAACACTAAGTCAGTGAACACAACAAGGCCTTAAATCCTTTTGAGCATGTAAATTCTAAGCTAGAGACACCTGCATACAGCAAAGCTATGGTGGACAATCAAGTTCAGTGAGTTGCAGAGATACTAACAAAGGTCTTTAGTTTTGGACTTGATTTCTCGAATGAAGGAAGAGTATCATTCTTCCCTATTGCGGAGTTCTTTTTATCAGAATCTGAAGCGTCAGAACTTTCATTCCAGGAAGCCTCAGAATCTCCATCTTCCTCCTCCTCTGCGGAAGACACATTACACTGTTTGTCGTCCTCGATCTTCTTGGTGTCTTTCTTCTCGTCTGAATAGAGAATATTGTCCTGATTGTCTCTCTTGACCCTCTTCCTGTTTGTCTTCTCATTAGCAGAAGACATGTTAACCTCCTTGTCTTCCAAACCCTTTTTAGGGCCTGTCTTCTCATTTGCAGAAGATATAGCATCTTGTTCAACTTCCCTGTTCCTCTCAAGTTCGACTACATTCTTCAAAACTTCGCCTGCACTTGAACTGGCTAGCCTACCTCCCTGTAAAGAAATAAAATATGAGTAAATGACCAACAGTGAGATGCATATAATTATTAAATGAAGATGGACTAATAATGAGTATCAGCATGATTAAACAAGCTCCATTCCTGGAATTGCTCAACATGCCTAAAATTATTCATACCTCATGAGAAGAATGTGTCGGACTCGTCAATGTGACGGTTGCTTTTGTGTCCTCTTCCATCACTCCTTTTACAGCATTCAACGTACGCTCAAAAACAGAATATGCTTCAAGAAGTTCAGGAGCATAGGTAGTTGATGTAGTCACCTCCTGCAGCAATACATGTTCCAAACCTGTCAGTCTTGTCAACAAATATCAACAAAATGATCAAATAATGAAGTAAGAAATAAAAATTCACGGCGGCGCTAACTGTCCATGTTAACAAAGTGTCCACTTGCAGAGTAATACAGCCAGCTATACTTCTAGCACGGTCCGGAAGGTGTAAACACTACAAATCCCGTTTCAATGACCAAAAACCCTCCCGATGGTTCACTCTGATCGAAAATGATTCTAATACTGAGGTGCCATGCATATCATGCTCACTGCTATTGCCAGAGTACATGAATGCTGAACTGCTAAGAAGAGATAGAATGAACAATCTCCTGCTCCTTCTGAATACCAGTTAACCACAACAACAGGGAGATGTGAAGAGAGAATTTTCACAAATCTTGCTTAAACCACGTTCTAAGACAATACAAACTACCTGCTTTGCTCTGCTTTCATCTTGATTGCTTGATTTCGTCGCAAAGCACTGTTGACCTGTCGAAGCACCCTCTTCATAGGCATCACCACTTGCCCCACTGACGGCTTCCAATAGATAATCAAATGCACTGTTTTCTCTCTGTGAACCAGGCACATTCGCAGAAATCCGGCAGAATTCAAGGCCCTGGAGGAACTGGTGTCGATAATCATGAGATAGCGCTGGCTCCGCCTCGTGAGGAGCTTCAGCTATCTCATCTGCATTGATATTCTCCTTTTCCGTGATCACAGGAGGTTCCTGATGGATCAACAGAAACCTGTTAACGCACTAAGAGATCATTCCCAGAACACCAATGAAACCTAATTTACACTGCCGCTATCAATGGGCGGACCCTAACGGCAGATGTCAGAAAGACCTTTAGAGTTTTATACACAATTGACGATATAACAATATCAAAATTCAAATTCAACACTTCAAAAATACAACTTCAATCATGTTTCCGCTAAAAGACCGTCAGAAAGACTACAACAAGAACAACAGGATCCGAAGAATAGTTGATGCAATTATGGTCGAGTTGGACTCACAATAATCCTTGGCCTTTTCAGGGCTAAAGTCCTCCGCCCTTTAGTGATCATTGAATCTTCAACCTCGAGTGCGCAACTTCTGAGACTCCTCCTGCCAACAACGTCGGAGGATAACTTGGCATTGGGAATGAATTCGTCGTCATCATCATCGCTCTCCTTGTAAGTCACCCCAGCCCTTGCTTGCCTCTGAGGCCTCGAGGCACCCCCGGAACCCCTCATTCTTATCCAATCTCTCACACCAACTCTTCTCCACCAAGCTTCACGCCCAACGAACTCCGACGCAACAAGCCTCCGTCATAGAACCACACTGAGCACAACATGCGCTCAGTGAGCCGCAACTACAATCCGATTCAAATTGAGACACCCCACATCAATACCAACTCGCACCCTTCGCAGAAAAACAAACTCCCGTCCACACAATCTACTCTAAGTTCTCAACTCCAACACTTCTAAACCACACACTCACACCATTCACTTCATACATACTACTCCACGTCCTCTTCTCCGACCTCAACGTCTTCCGCAACGTCTTGCTCCAGAAAACATCAATGCCGCCGACAAAGCCACTCCCAAAAATCTCGAAATCTTATCAATAATCTCACAGATTCAGCAGCATAATCTCGCGATTGACTCTGCGACTTCAACACCCGAAAGTGGAGCCTCGCAAGCCAGATATCTGAAAGAAAAAAAGACAACACCCGACTGAACAAGCTCTCCGAATGACCTAAGCTTCACGCGAAAGAGAAGGGTGACGCGGATGAGGGCCATTCAGCTTCAGTCTCAATCAACGGATTGAGAGTCTTACAAGCCTCGCGAACATGCCATACTTGGAATGCGATTTGAGTTCGCCGCATTTCCAGCCAACCGAGGAGGGAGACGAAGTTCTCATGTTCCCATACGTGAGAAGCAATGGGAACATTTGTTCCCTTGAGGTTCCCGCTCCTCTGCGCCTCGTTTGAATCTCCCATCTACTATAGGGTTTCAAGATTTGCGGAATTCGTTGTCCTTGCTTGAGTTTTTGTCTACTACAGTTGAGAGAACCATGACGACCATTCGGCGATTCTGTTGCGATGATCTACTCAAGTTCGCCAACGTGAACATTGACCATCTCACTGAAACTGTAAGTTGCTGCTGTTTTTTTTTTTTTCTTTTTTTTTATTCTTTTTTTCTTTTGGGGTTGTTGAATTGAGTTTCTAAGTGTGGTTGGAAATTTTCGGTGAGTCGAGAGGGTTCGTGTGAATCAGAGGTGATTGGATGTAGAATGCGGATGGCGGGGTGATTAGTTTGTGTGCGGACGTTTATGTGCAGTTTAGCATGGCATTCTACCAGACTTACATGGCAAGGTGGCCAGATTATTGCCATGTAGCGGAGGCACCGAATGGATCAATTATGGGTTACAGTAAGTTTCGGTCGTGATGCCGATTGCAGGTTTGCATTGTAGAGAGTTTTCAGGTTTGAATTGTATGCTGACCTTTGTGGCATCAGAAGTGCGCGGTATCTCGTCGAGGATACGAACCTGACAATCTCTTCATGATGCTTGTTAACTTTGGCCTTCCTTTCTGTTCAATGTTCTAGCTTCACGCTACAGATAGTGTAAAGAAGCAGGTTGGAGTCACCTTAAGAAAATTGAGCTTAGTGATGTTAGCGAAGAGAGTCGGTTTTACAGAGTATGTCAAGTACGTCCATGAAATACACCTAGCTGAAGAAATTAGGTTTTTTTGAGTGAGGTGTGATTGCATGACGTCTTCGTAACTAGTTGATGGCTGGCAGTTTTAGGGAAGGTGGAAGGGCACAACGAGAATTGGCATGGGCATGTTACAGCGGTTACCGTGGCCCCTGAATACCGACGGCAGCAGCTTGCAAAGAAGCTGATGCAAATCCTAGAGGACATCACTGAGAAATCGTGAGCTTTGCTTGTGTCCCACGATTATATCTGACCTCAGACGCAGCAATCAAAACTTCTTTGTTCTCAATTAACCCTTACCTCTCGTCATTTAACATTATTGTAACATCCCTGCCGTGGGAAATTGTTTATGTGATCAGGTACAATGGCTACTTTGTGGATTTATTTGTACGTGCATCGAACATCCCTGCAATAACGATGTACCAGAAGGTATTTAGCAACCTAACTTCCAAGACATCCAAATTCAAATTCGCATTGAGGACCAGAAGCTATGCAGGAACTGATTCTAAATTAGATAGTTTCAAAAGAAGTGATTCTTTTATGTACCGCTTCATACTATTTTACTTTGTAATCCCTGGTTATTGAATTGGTTTGCTTGCTGTGGTCCTTAACAGCTTGGATATTCAGTGTACCGACGGGTTCTTAGATATTATTCGGGTGAAGAAGACGGACTTGGTATGTGCATCGAATACTAGATCTCATCAGAGATGCACACTTGTGTTTCTTTTTGTTTTAAATCTGCATTCACGTGAATACTATCATTTAATTAGATAGGGTGGAATTCATTGAAAGTGGTAAGAGTAGAATATTTCCCTTAATTTTCACGCATGTTGTCAGTAGCTGATGGTGTGGGGTTGAATTGATTTACTCCGCAGACATGCGAAAAGCCATGAAACGGGATGTGCATAAGAAATCGATCATTCCCTTGAAACGAGAAATAACGCCTGAAGAGTTGGAGTATGACTGACCTCTTGGAGACCAATTGTTCAAGTGATTTATTTTTACGAATATCTGTCATATATGTAGCGAAATTCCTCAAGAGTTCAACAATTAGGGATGCTTCCTGATTACATCCTTCATTTGTTTGACCTGCCGTTCAAATTTGATGCATTTTGTACCTTTATCGCTTGCATGCATTTGCTGTCCAAATTCTTGATATTTCAAGAAAATTGCTTAACTTGTAAGACAACTGCAGTGGCTGTTGCAATTGGTGGTTGGAGCCCATTATCCAGCAGTTGCAATATATCCAAGGCTGGTACTGGTTTCGCCCTATCATAGTGTGGGAAATCAATAATCCTTTTAAACTAATGCGCCGACGTTTTATGCGAACAAAATAAGTCTCAAATTTCTCATAGAGCCGTATACTACTCTGCTTGAAATACGAATCCTGGTGCTTTCACATTGAGGCAGTATTTGTTACAGGAAGATTCTTGTTCCAGCTTATTTGCTGCGAAAATGAACATGGGCATAGCTTTTTGAAAAAGAAGGCTAGCCATGGTGTTTTACTTGTGAAAGTTTCTGCTTCAATGGTCTGACACATTAATTGAGCTAAGATACTTACCCGCCTATTGTATACACCCATGCAGAATCATCTGCACACTCTAGTTTGTTCTGCAGCTGGTTGTCACTTCGAAATGAACATCCGTTACAAGTAGGACGCTGAGAACATGCAAAGAACCCAACTTCGCCTTAAAGAGTGGTCTTCATTATGAAAATTTGTTGGATAAAACTACGTGCCGTTCGTGCCTGAATGAAAGATTGCTTTGATCTCTACTTGTGGTGCAGACACAGTATCCCTGAAGTGGCAACCATCCTGCTGGTTGCCCTTGCCTCCTTTCCCCAGGATGGATGGATTGTAAGGCATACTATGAATTTCTTTCAAAGTTATTTATCTATTGGAAACAGATCCAAAACAAACGAAGTGACACGTATTGGTTGAAAAATAATGAATTACGATTTAGGTTTCTTTCAATTTTCGAAAACTAAAAAACTAAAATTTTCTTCATAATTTACCTCATTCCTTTCGAATTTGCAATCAAGTAGTTGATTGCATCAGCTTAAGAGAGATTCAACGAGAATGCAATGAAAATTTTGGTTTCAGAAGTTGGATCAAATCTTCAAAAATTGTAAGGCATGTGCTTTAAGTACGTCCAAAAAGCAAATACAAAACATAAGAGCTCCACGGACCAACCAACCAAAGCCAATATAACCATGATGGCTCAAACACGCATCATTTTGTCTTTCATTTCTATCTGTGCATAATCATGTCACTTTGTATAAGATTCCTAGAAGACAACGAATCACTATTACTTTCACTTCACTAATTAACATCTGGATGAAATATATTGCAAACAAATACATGTCTTGCAAAATCTGTTTTTGAAACAGCTACTCACGGCACTCTCAGAGGACACTACAACATTTTTTTCATTTGTGTTTTTCATACACTTGGAAGACTTGTAAAAAAACGGTGGTCATTGGAAGCAACCAATTACAAAATAGGCTGAGCTGGCATCTAATCACCAGCTTTGAAATGAAGTAAATGACAGGCGAACAACAATTCCCTGAGTGTTCTCAACACCCCAGGCAACTACACATTAGGTGTGGCGGACCCCAATTGTTGTGCTACACTCTACAGGATCTACTCTCAGGGGGTGGGAAAATACCACGTCAGCATGATTGGGCCACCTAGACATCCAGGTGGAGGGGTGAGTCCGTCATGGCGAATCCACTGCCACGTCGTCCATGTCCACACACACACACTTGCACTCACTCACTCAAAGCAAGAGGGGAATCAAATCAAGTGCTCATGGGGTCTGGATTCAGCTGCATGGAAGGGATAGCTGGCCAACCCGTGTGTGACAGTGTCTTGCTCTGGGTTGAGCTACATACTTGTTAAGTTGTTATAGGTGATAAATAAATAAATAAAGAAAGAAAAAATAAATGTAAAAAAGCAACCATAATAGATTTTCCAATAAAATAAAATGACATTGTTGGAAAAAATAGATTCAAACATATGCACAACAGACAACAAAGAATTCAACAGAAAGGTGTTCTATTCGAAATGACCTTTGAGCTTTTGCAAAGAATAGATTGATAACCGCCTAGCCAGCTGCGCAATGCACACACAAGTCGGTTCACCTCAACACAGACCGTGCCAGACATTCTCAACAGACCACGGTATTACTGCCACGGTCTCATGATGACTAGCACGGTCTTCGGTTGGACTAATGATGGGCACTCACCAAGGCCCACTCCCACGCCCGTCTCACTGAAAGGGACGGGTATGACCGCTCCTTCCCTGCCTACTACCCCGCCCTGGGCGTGATACCGACGTGGGCGCGCCATTACCACCTCGCCATTGTAAATTAAACTCTTGCTTCTGCCCGCCATCCCGACCTTCGCATGCGTGCGTGCGTCCTCTCCGAGCTCTTCCTGCTTCATCTTGACCTTAGTCCTACTTGCTCCCTCCTCTGATGATCTCGCTAGCTTCTCGCGTCGGCTTCACAAGTCTATGAGTTCTTGTACCGCATTGACAGTTAGTATTTCGTGGAGAAGGAGCTTTGTTTTAGCAGTTGGTTATAAGGCTCTTGCTGTAGTTTGCTTTGGTTCACAGAAGGTTGAGGTAGCTAGAGGAGGCGGAGGAGGAGAAGGATCACAAAGTGGAAGGTGATTGCTGCAAGACGCGGAGCTCAGGTCTACTTAAAGTATGGACGATTTGGATTTGCGAAGAGGTTGCCAGCATGCTGCTAGTTTACGTCCCTTTTTGCGTTGTTAACCAAAGCAGGTGGTCTGGTACAGGCCGTCTGTGAGCTTAGAAACCTTAGGCCGGGACACGTAGGGCGAGAGAGTTGCAATGCAGTTGTTCCGTTATGAGAGGTAAGTCTCGTCCTAAGTGCAGTAGCTCCCTGTGTTGAGTGATGTATTTGGTTTGAGAGACGCTGGCACGGCCTGGTAATGTGGTGGCGAATAGAGGGAGTTGTTTGTGCATTCAGAAGTATGCCGGATGGTCATGTCTTAATATACTTCGTCAGCTAAGTGAAAGCGATATAAAAAGTAAACATATATAGTAGGCTGCTTCCAAGAGTTTCGGGGAACGAGCTCCAAAAATGTTGGTAATGTCAGATAGGTTGCACGCACTGCTCAGAAGAATGCATGCTTGAGTTGTTCAGCTGAAGGAGGAACCTCTGAATGGCATCTAGTTGCTCGCGGTGGATGCCATGCAAGCGCATTCACTTATTTATGAGCACCCCCCCCCCATGTGCGCGTGATGATCGATTTTATTCCATATCAGTCGGTAGCAGCCACACCATTTTGAAGTTGTCTGCTTGTCCATTCTGACTAAATAAGGTTTGGCTCGTTGACACTGACGGCATTGAGTCTCGACTGATGCATAATTGAGTATGTTATAATCAAATGATTAGATACCTTATCCCTAAATAATAGGTAAATGTGAAACAAATAGATGTTTCATATGAATTTGAGAACCATTAGGTGTATACACGTTGTGATAATGTTGCCGAATTGGGAGGCTGCAGGTATAAGCTCAAGGCTATGTTGCTCCGACTTTCCCCAAAAATCATCAGGATTTCTTTGTGGAATAAACAAACGTTGCTTGAAAATTACGGGCACTGATCCTTGGAGCTCATGTAATCGCGAACACAGGTCGCGTTATTTTATCGCTGGCACACATTACTTGGTTAATTAGATGTGTCGGTGCAATAGGGTTTTAGTCTAGAGGACTGGTTGAGTGACAGAGGTAGAGAAAGAGGATCAACCTCGCTTACTGAAAAACCGATGTGAACTCGCACACTCTGAGAGAACTCACACTGTAACTAGTTCACATTTTCAGGGAACAATTTTAGAGGCGGCATTTATCTCTCAGGATTTCGGCATTTTGCGTGAGATACCCCAGTAGAATTAAAGGAATCAAGGATAGAATTGTGCTGGTCTCATTGGGAACATTCGTGTTCATTTAATGTTCTTTGGCTTTCAGAATGGGGATTTGCCATTCGTTGTAACGATGAGGTGTTCCAAACAACTTTTCCTGATGGTCCACTGTTCTTTCGCGAGAAGAGTTGAAGCTCTTTGCTAACAGGAAGAGCCGATGGTATAGCTTCTCAATTTAGTTGACAGTTGATTCTGGTACATCTGATTGACGACATGAGATTGATTGTGAAAACCGAAAAATTTCTATCAGCCACGATTACTTCGGATGAAATGAGTGATGCGAAGATGAGTAAAGGCAGAAGTTTAAGGTGCTGAGGCAATGCGAAATCGTTGGTCTCAACGGAAGGATCGAATCGTGGAAGTTAATATCTCCATGTGTTGCCAAGGTCAGGAAGAAGCTTGTTCGTATCAGCGGAACGAATGGGAAGGATAGGACAGGATTATCAAGAGATATTTCGTGAAGACTTGTGAGAGCGATCATGCGTTGCAATGCCTGTCCAATTGCAGGGTTGCTTTTATTGCTGCTTGTGGCTACCCAGATTCTCAGGATCGGCCATGGTATAGTGCCATCTCCACAATCCTCTCCTTTCTCCATTCCACAAATTAACCTGGTGCCTTACATTTACGTGTCAAATATTTCCAGGTAGGTTGTGGAGATTGCCATTCATATTTTGGCTTCAACCCATATAGTGCCATCTCCACAATCCTAGTTGAAGGACAGAATAGTTGCACCTCAATTGCAGTGCAAACTCGATAGACTTGCATTAATAATGCCCTGAGATGGAACTTTTGATTTTAGTCATGCTCCAAATAACAATCTACAATAGATGAATGCTAACGCTTATGACAAATGTATATAGCTCCGACGCTTTAATTATGATGCATAATTTGTTCTTAGGCTAGATAGCTTTACTCATGGTATGGTGTGAACTTGAAGAGTCAATCGCGTGAAATGGGGTCCTTTAATACCCCAATAACCAGCAGATACGTGTAGTATCGTTGTTTTGATACCATGGGATCCCCAGCGATGTTTTACAACCGCAGTATTGATCTAGTTTTGTCACAGCTCGAAGTGATAGGTCGATAAACGTCGTCAAGTAATTTCATTTCTTAGAAACTGATGTTAAATGTAACCCCATTACTAATAGCTCGTGTATGATATCAGTCGATGAACTTCCTTCCACGAAGACTTTCAAGTCAGCATGTTCTACACTGCTACTAAATTTTATTGCATTTTCCGAGTATGCCTCTAATATATCTGATAAATTGACGTTGCATTTTGGCATTTTGCATTGGGCTGCAGCTTTGCCATGTTCTACAGGGGATGAACCCCCTGCTCGAGTTCTTGTTACCCAGAAACCAGAGATACAAACTTCCACCTTCTCATCATCCGATGGGTTGCCTTCTGATAAATTAGTGATGCGTCCAATCCGAGCATCCAGGTTTCTAGATATGCAACCTGCGATGGCACCCCAAGTTCTGAGGACCCAACTGGTAGATTATTCGCCAGCCGCTTCGCCAGATAATAGTCCCCGTCTAAATCGAACAAGGTCCACACGGCCAACAGTTACAGCTCCAGCTCCTTCTCCAAAAATAAGAGGGCACCACCATCACACATACAAAGGTCAGAGAATAGAGATTTTACAAAAATCAGATTATTATATTTAATTAGAATGACTATTGAATAAACTACTCTTGTTATTTTATACATTTTCCATTCTATAATTTTTATGATTTTCCCAATCCCTTATTCTAATAGATGCTTTGTGTAATGCTGTTTTTGGAGATAAATGTGATGTCCTGCAATGAGAAATCGATGTTCTTTAGTATTAAAATTTTAGCTATCGTGCTGATCAAGATTTTGTTTGGACATGAATGGTAACAGCACCATCTCCTGCACCAGCATTCGCTCCAGTGCCACCGCAGATCTATGCTCCACCTCCAAAGGATATACAAGGTACAGACAGTTATTGAAAAAAATTCTTGATTACAAACCCGAAGTGTTGTCATATGCAGTGAATCTATTGGCACTATTTCTTGGTGTAACAAGTGAGCGATCAGCACAGTACTGCAACTCAATCTCGGCGGTCAATCCGGAGCGATAAAGGTATTACAGAATTGACCAAGACCTAATGACATTTGTGAGGTGCTGACATCTATTTATATGTGCAGGCTGTAAAGAATGTGAAGACGGGTATGCCAATGCACCATCAGGTGCTCCATGTGGATGTGTGATACCGATGACTGCACGCCTAAAACTAAAAATCGGCTTTGAGAAACTATTGACGTTGGTGAATGCACTTGCCAAGGAACTTAGCGACAGCCTTTTACTGCACCAAAGCCAAGTGCATATAGTGGGAGCGAATGCAGTAGAGCAATTCCAGGACAACACAGATGTGACTGTGCAGATTGTTCCCTTGGCAGATGCTTTTGACAACACCACTGCGTCGTTTCTTGCTTCTCAGATCTGGGAACACGGAGTGAAATTAAACGAATCCCTTTTCGGTCTCTACAAAGTCATCTCGGTACATTATCCAGGTAATAGCTGCAAAACATCAGGTGGATGTGTTTTAATGTCAAGAATCTTCTAAGTTTCTGGACTTACAATGTCATCATGTACGCGTTTCTTTGACCTGTGGTGGTAATAATCAGAGTACATTTCATGATTTTATACCTTGAATTTCCCAACTTAGGAACGCCAATCAAATAGCTGGCGGCGTGGTTTGTTGGTGAGAGGTGACATATTCTGAAATGTAGTCACACTTCTTTCATATCGTATCACAACATGCACGCTGAAATCTTAATCAAGCATTTGAGAACAAATCGTTTGATTTTCTATTACATTGTTCAATACTTATTGCATGGTTGAAAATCTGAACTTCCTCTATTTCTATATTTTTCAATCACCCCCCACAGGTTCGCATGATTCTGTTTGTAGGACTCCCTCCCTCTCCGCCTTCTCAAGCCCAACCCGAATTCGCAATACCTCCAATACGAAGTGGAGGGACTGCACAGCGACCCATTGGAGTGAACCTTAGCAATGTTGACCATAAAATAAGTAGTGCAAAAATTGCTGTAATTGCTCTAGCATCGACAATGGGTGCAGCGATCTGCCTCTGTGTGATCTGGTTAGTGATATTAAAGTGCAATAACCGGGCTCTAGCTATTGAAAAGGCCACAGAGCTCCTCCATCCTTCTGCCCCGAGACAGTCAACCCGCTCAGGTAAGTTTTGTTATTAGTGAATTTCTGGTCAGTATCAGTTCGTAATCTGTTACCTGCCAGCAGATTTCGACGTAAGTATTGGTAAGTTAATAAAGAAAATGGGAATATGTGTCTGAATTAGATGATTTCCTCCGATGCGGTCGAACTTTTACTTATTGCTAGATTTATCTAATCAGTTAGGCTACTTCAGTACTAAGTAATACGACCAAGTAGGCTCAAAGACTACTCAATTGTTGATCTTGCACAGGTGGAGTTTCTGTGGTGTCCGGAAGCTTCCAATCAGCATCATTTTCGGGTGAATCAATTATACCAGTATACAGGGGAACTGCCAGGTGTTTCTCGCTAGCAGAACTCACCAGAGCAACTGCAAACTTCAAACAAGAAAATATTGTTGGACAGGGAGGGTTTGGGACGGTCTTTCAGGGGAAATTAGATGACGGAACTCATGTGGCTGTGAAAGTCTTAAATCGCGGAGAAGACCAAGGAGGTCGAGGATTTGTTGCTGAAGTTGAAATGCTGAGTAGATTACATCATCGAAACCTCGTCAAACTCGTTGGTATATGTATAGAGGGGATGCGATGTTTAGTGTATGAACTCATCCCCAATGGCAGTGTTCAGTCACATTTGCATGGTAAGCACTACTAGCGCTAATACCAAATGCTTTTTAAAGCAAGTTGTGTTGGAATCCAGTGGTGAAACTTGTCAATGTTACATGATCACATCAGCTTCGAGAATTTTGAAGTGTGCAATCTGACATAAGTTAATGATGATGAAATCTTAATTTCTTCTGAGAAATCCTTCGACATTTAAATATGTATTTGAATGCAAGCGTTCTGAAAATTCCTACCGAGAACACATAATAAGCACGTGTAAGATATTTGCTACTATATCATCATTATTACCTTGCTGGTGGAGTTCTCAATTCATGATCTCTTACATATTTTTAATAATTTAATAATGAGTCTGATTTGCAGGTACAGACAAACATAATGCACCACTGAATTGGGAGACCAGGCTGAAAATCGCTCTGGGAGCCGCAAGGGGGCTAGCTTATCTTCATGAGGATTCGAATCCGAGAGTGATACATCGAGACTTCAAAGCCAGCAATATTTTATTGGAAATGGACTATACCCCTAAAGTGGCCGATTTTGGTCTGGCTAAGGCAGCCGTGGAAGGGGAAAATAGTCAGCATACATACTCTCGCGTGATGGGCACAATTGGGTAGGAACTGCTTTTGTCATGGTTTTTCAGCACGGAGATTAACTCGTGAGTGCAATCTAATAATTCTGGACGTTTTTGTGTACTTATTGCCTATTAAATCGTACTTATTAGATAATATGTTAATACGCAGATATGTGGCGCCTGAATACGCGATGACAGGCCACCTCCTAGTGAAGAGCGACGTGTACAGCTATGGGGTGGTTCTTCTTGAGCTTCTCTCAGGGAGGATGCCTGTTGACTCAAATAACCCAGAAGGGCAGCACAATCTGGTCACATGGGCTCGTCCACTGCTTAAAACTGAACAAGGATTGGTGATGCTAATGGATCCATATCTTGAGGGCGATTCTCCATTCGACAGCTTTGCTAAGGTCGCAGCTGTCGCTTCCACGTGTGTCCAACCTGAAGTGTCGCTACGGCCATTCATGGGTGAAGTCGTGCAGGCTCTGAAACTTGTCTACAATGACTCAGACGCAAGTGACTCCTACCCAGATGATCTTTCCCTAGACCTTGTCAAGTATGGGGCCACTACCGATCACCGAGCACGGTTTCTCCCAGATTCATCCTTCCTCAGCAGTGATTATGATTCAGGACTGTTCAACAGCAGGGATCCTATTGGGCAGCCTCTGTCGGCCTCTGCAGCATTGTCAGATTCCGATCGCTCCGCTTGGCAATTCTCTGCTTCATTGCGTCGCCAAAGCAATTCAGGTCCTCTGGAGACTTCCACTGGACAGAAGCCACCAGCGTCGTACAGGTTAAGGAGCAAGAAAGCGGTGACAAAGAGCGATCATGGAGGTGCAGGAGCCAACAGTCACTACAGACCTAGAGAGTTTTCATCTATTTGGACATAAAAATTCAGTGTGTAGACGTGGCTTTATATATAGGTTATCTCTGAGTTGGAAGGTGGTTTTCCCCTTGAATAGAATTGCTCGATAGAATGCTCAGGCCGACAGCTTTCGAAAATTTAAACACGTCAGCTCTCTCATGATTTTCTGCAAAATTAAATCGGATACCACTTTGAAGTTGCATTCATCAATCCCGCCAAATTCATGTAATTTCGGCTATTGTTACTAGGTATTATTCAATTTTGACAATACGTCAATAAACAAGTAGAAAAATAATTTTTATAAATTTGGAATTTAGTCTCTTGTACCACCAGCCTATCTACATGAACAGCAACGAACGCTATGATAAATTATGCAAGCAGCCGTTGATACGTTAGGCTGAGATTTCTGATGGTGTGAATGAAGTTTCTGGAGATAATGAAAACTATCTTACAATTCCCTGCTTCAACATATGTTGATTACTACCAGATCGCTTGCCTACTTAATAAGTATTGGGCAGGATGATATCATCGGGAAGAATCCGTTATTGGTACCCTCCTGTAAAAGGCACCACGAGACAATGAAGAGTAGCGTTGTGCTGATGATGAACTCGTGACCACCACGCACCAGTGTCCGCCTTTAGTTGTCTGTGCCATGGTGACCTTCACGAGTTGATTGCTGAAGTGCATGAGGGCTGGATGCAGCCATAAACGAATTGTTCAAATGTGATGAGTCGATTGTTATCGATATGAATCGGACGCATTGTGTGTTTCATAACACTGCGAAGGTGAACTGCGCAAGCCTTTATTTCCTTCTGAGTATGTCGTCTTGATCAAACCTCCACAATACTCATCCATGTTGCTGTGATGTACGCAGCGTCAGAATTTCATGGGAATTCTGACGCAATGTTTCATCCCTGAAAAAGGTAAGTCTTTGTATCCTCTGCTCACTGTAGTTGATGGTCTCATCGCAAATGCTCCAAATCCAATTCGTAGTGCGTACTGGTTTTTCTTGCCCAATGCCGCGTCTGTGAGTCACGTCTGCATTGACACACACAATTGAACGACAGTTGTCAGGCCACTGTCGTGCCATGGTTCGGGTTAAAATCGTACTTTCGAGTTCAATAGAGGAATCAAAACCTAGGCAGGACAAATCTAAGCAATGTACATAAAGACTCTGGTACACTCAACTTAGGATGGGTCTGAAACTTACACTAAGGACTTCGTCTCCTTCCTCCCGAAAGCTGCTCTGCTCCTCAGGTCATCTTTGACAATTTCTACCATTCCGGTTTTCGGATATACCTGCACCTCCGAAACACATATATTAGCAAATATCACTTGTGAACCCTCAACTTCTAGAGATCTTGTCCATATTCAATAGCTTAATGAAAGCTGATTTCCTTTCATGCCGACGAAGTAATGGATTCAGCTAAGGATAATGACTCGAAATGTTACCTGTTTGGGTTTCATTGGGGACCCTACCCTTCGTCCATAAGGACTTAGTGCCGGTGTCAAGGGTTTAGACGGAGTGAACGATCGTGGAGATGGTGTCAACAGCTTGGTCGAGGTGATCCGCCTAGGTGAAGGTGTCACCGGTTTGATGGAAGTTGTCTGCTTGGGTGAAGATGCCAGTATGTGTCTGGTTGGGCTGAATTGCTTAAGAGGTGTCGATGGTTTGATTGGTGTTGTGTGATTGCGTGGAGTCAAGGCTTTGGTTGGAGTCGAAGGTTTCGATGCAGTAAGTAAAAGTGGTCTTCTTGCAGTTGCTGTTTGAGTCAATTTTGAGTGAAGCGACTCTTGAACTTGAGAGAGATGCGTCTGAACATCGTCTACCAACTTGCTTTTGGGAGCCATAGCAGGTTCATGCCGCGCATAAAAATCTGATCTATTCTCTTTCGCAAGTCTGGCCTGTATTGCAGAGAGGCTTTCGCCGACTTTCTCAGCTCTTTCTTGCAGAGAAGCAAGCTCAGATGCGGAAGTTTCCTGCAAGAATAATGGATTTTTACGCAGACACAAATCGGGTGACGGGAGCAGGATTTGAGCGCACTCATTCACCTCAATTTGAGGTTTCGATGCTATTCTCCGAAGAGGTCTCGTCAAGCTCTGAAAGCACAGAGTTCAAGGATTTTAGGTGCACCGATAGCTTCAACAGTAAAACGAATAACAATGGTAGTAGTAATAATAATTATAAAAGCATGCAATATTTCTAAAAAGATGAACTTAGTTTCCATAGAAGCTTACTTTCTAATGTCATTTCTAGCCAAAACAACAGGACTAGTTTTAAGGAAAAGTAGAGTTGAGAAGTCCTGTCAACACTTACAATTTGCTTGGCTAACTGGCTGACTTTTCCTGCAAGCCCCATGCAATGACTGGCTTGTTTGCTGATGGACGTTTCAACCAGACTTCGGATACTTTTGACTGGTCGGTTAATCAACTTCTGAGCATCTTCAATCGATTTGTTCATTTCTGAAAGTTGCTGCTCGATACTCCTCACCTCCAAAGCCAATCCCAACACCTGAATATCCTGTCTAGTCTGCGACTTTTGTCTGAATAAAGCAAGGTAATGGAGAGAAATTAGGACCACCCTGAGGTGGAAATTCCACACAAACAAAACTGACTTGTGTAACAAATGATATCAATGGAAATTCCTAGAGACGTGCAAACTAGTTCCAAGACGTGCCTTATTTCGTCCAGACCGTCTTGATTCTCTTCAGTGACAAATGTAGGATTGTTAGCCGCGCTTTGCAGCCCATCCATGTCGGTAAACAGAACGCGTTGGGAAGCATGATCCTCGAGCTCGTCGGACATATCAAACCTCGCAAGTCTCGTTCCTTTAGAAGGGGCCTGCATCGCATCCACATCTGTGAAGTTGAAAACTCACATAGAATCCAAACTGATAGGCAGATGAGCATCCCATGACGTCTACATAACACGACTAGCCAGTAACAACTTCAGTAATTTCTTTCTAGCACACTCAAATGAAGGATGTTACCTGTGTGTAGAGGATGTCGTCAAAAGTCTGGAGGGCCTTCGAGTGATAATCACTAACAATAGGACTCAAGGGTTGCTTGTTTGCGCCTTTCTTTCCTTTTCTGTGCACAGACGACGTTTTCAAGTCCCTCCCGCACTCCGCTCTAAGAGAGTTGTTACCAAATGTAGCATCCTCGTCCTCCCATACAAGATGGGGAATGCTTTCCGGCAGAGAGTCGTCTTTTTCTGGCGAAAAGTGCAGGGTCATTGCACCTGTCTTTTGTTCAGCAGTTAACCAGGAATCGTCTGTCGAGAATATTATGCTATCAGAGGTTTCTAGCTCTAATTTTTTATGGAAGCGTATTGTGGTGGGAGGTTTCTCTTCTTTCAGGCACAGATCTTTTAGTCTAGACAGCAATTTTGCAGAGTCGGAGACGGAGTTGTCGAGTAGAATAGGTTTTTCAAAGCACATTTCCAGTCGATTCTTCTCTGGAGTTTGGTCTCGGAGCTCCAGAGCTTTTGTTCCAGAAGTAGCATCCGCATGTTGAGACGATTGTAGCACCTTTTCAGGCTTCGACACTGGAAAAACTTCAGCATTCTCCGAAAGCACCTGATAACACGGTTCCAATAACATGATCAGTTCAACTACTTTCAAGTCAATAGCCTCCGACAAAACATATCAGCATTATGATTTCGATCAGATTCCATTCTGCGGCAGGCCGGAGCTTTATCTTCACAAATAATCTTAGCAATATTGCCACAGCATTTCTATTACGAAATTTATTTATTTGAAGAACGTATGCAGTCGTACGTTCTCTTGAGATATATCCGAAGAGGCCATTTTATTCGCCGATTTTGGTTGCTCGAGCTGCAATGGGAGCTGGCGATGTTTCGTTTCCAAAGCAGCCAATTGAACACCTTTGAGTTGAAGCTCTCCCTCAGAAGTACCCAGTATCTTCTCAATAGTAGTATTGTGCTCATCATCGCGAACGTTTAGCTTATCCCTGTGACATGGAGAACATTCTCATAATTAAGAAAATACTTAATGGTCCTCATACTCTTGTGGTGAAAGCCCGAAATAAAGATACAGACCAGGAAGAATCTACAGATTCATATGTTCGAAAGAGAGCCCAAACCAAGCACGTCGTAACACAGGGTTTCGGATGCTGTAAGAACAGTGGCAGAGAAATTTGCACGCATAGTTAGTTGAACTTCTCCTTACTTGTAGTCAATTTCAGGCTCAACTTGTAACTTTTCCATGGATCGTTGGGGTGCCATCACTATGTCCGCGCAACGCGCGCATCCGTCACTCTTCCCAACCACTTGCGACGGAACATCATCATGCTCAGATTTGACCGCAGTTAGAAAATCATCCACGGCCGCTGCAGCATCGCATCCCAAGTCGTCAAATTCCGTCCTTGATTGAGCCAATTCTGTCTCCATTGTCAGTAGCTTCGATCTGAAGGCTGATAACCTTTCGTCTTTGGCTCGCAAGTGTCTTTCAAAGGTCTCTATCTGATTCCTGTGCTTTTCCTCCATTTGCATAACAAGCCTCCCCTTCACATCTTCAAACCATGCTTGAGAGGTCGGGTCCGATGCTGACTCTGAAATGGGTGAACAGAGAGCAGAATATAAGATGAAATAATTGCAGAACTAGAGCATCATCTTTTATTTTGGATAAGCAAAGTACATGTACTGCTGTTGATGCCCTACAGAGTGGTCAGGTTTGGACGTTAAATTTGTACAAACTGCAATCGGTATGGACGCATATTCCCAGCTTTGAGTCGGCTTCGATAACCAGTCATTCATACATCCCAAATTCAGGAGAATAAAACAACAAAGGGATGTAACCTTCTAAATGCAATCACCAACGACTTGTGTGGGAGAGAAAAATAAGATCTTAACGTCGTTTCAAATGCACAAGCAAGGATGAAGAGGAAAAGTACCTTGGAGGTCTGCAAACAAAAGAGTCGGTATAGGAGAAGAGGCGGGCTTCTGAGCCTTCGACGTGAACGCCATCAGTTGTTTCTCCAGAGCCTCGACATGTCTTCTGTACGAGGTGCAGAGACTTTTCACTTCCTCGAGGTGAGATCTTTCATGATCCACAATTTTCTCGCACTCAGACCTGTTACCCAAGCTGCGATGACTGCGATGACCTGACCTTGAGTCGGGAACTTCGACAAAGAGGTTCCTCCGATCCTTGTCCTCCGCTAACCTTTTCCACTGGCGTAATTCTGCCTCAGTAGCTTCTTTCCCAGCCTGCGCGACAAAAAGCTCACGGGCAAGATCCTCCTTCTCTTCTCTCTCCAACGTGGATCGCTCCAGCATGGTGGATATCATCACATCCTTGTCTTCCGATTCTTGCCTAACAGTCGATAACTCGTCCGAGAGCTTTAGGGTCATTGATGAGTGCCCTTCGATCGCAAGACTAAGAGATTCAAGTTTTGTTTTCGCGGTGCCAAGCTCCTCCAACGTTTTCATTAACTGGCGTTCAGTTTCCTTCTGCTTACGTCTGACTTCGTTGAGTACAATTTCTCGCTCTTTTGAGTTAGATAATTCCTCCTGCAGAGTCTCATTCAATTCGGTCGTGATCTTATTCTCTGCGGCAAGCTTTGAAGTGAGCTCGCGAATCTGAGCCTCTTTGTTTCGAGAATCCTCCATTTCCGTCACAGCCATTACCTCCTTCTCTTTCAGCAATTTCTTTAGGTCAATCACAAGTCTCTCCTTGACGTCGCACTCATCGCAATTTAGCAAACCAACCTTTGAACCACATATTCCACTAGCCTCTTCGTGGATCAGGTCCTTCCTAAGCATGGAAATCTCATGACAAAGCTTCTTCCTTTCGGCCTTCCATGCATGCTCACGACTGGCGTATATACGCACAACTTTCTCATTGGCTTTAGCATCATCTGTCCTCCTAGACTTCAATTCCTTAATTTCAGTCTCGGCATTGGCTAATTTTCGTAACATCTTATCCTTATCTTCATCCCACTCTTTTCTATCTTTTTCACCTACCTCCGCTCGTTCTTTCATCCTCTCCTGCAGATCACGGGCATTTCGAGCTAAGCATTGAAGTCGACCCATAGCCACTTTCAGCATTTTCTGGAGGGATATCTTCTCGGACCACGAAGTTTCATCTACTCCAACCTCCTTCACTCTGTTTCCATTCGCACCACGAATAAGAGCACCCAACGCTGCGAAAGCCAGAGCGACACCGAAATACTCAGCAAGCAGAGGCCACGGCTCTTCTTCTTGCAAGTCCAGGTACTTGCTCATGAGGTTCTTGCGACCGGATGAAAGGTCTAACAAAGGGTTCAAATCAAACTGCCTCAAACTATAGTTCTGGAGCTCCCTCAGAAAATCCTCGGCACCCACACCCTCCATTACCGAAAATTTGGTGAATATTGTCTTCAGAGACACAGATAGCTAAATGGCGTCAACTCACTAGAATGAAGCAAGTTAAATGTCCACTTTGAAACACTTGACACCCACTCTGGCGAATCTCTTTGCCTCCACCTTTCCTTCAGCATAGAGCTACTTACGTACGAGACCACTGAGAAACTCACAATGTGTGACGGGGATCAGGGTTCCGCTGCATTTCAATGTTGCAAATCTATGGTTCTTAGGTAAATTCCGGTCTGCGACGGTCTAAAGTATCAACTATGCAATCACGCAAAAAAATAAATATAACATCCGGTTGTCAGCATCGTCACGATGCAACACGCACCAACCACTTAAGTCATCCAAATCTGAACAGCATCGATTGATGCATTACATATCTAACTAAGCACCTAACGGTTTCGAGCAAGGTCGCAATCAGCGACGCAATGCCACCTGGTCCATAACATCGTACTTCAAAAACCGGTTCAGTATTCCAAAACGCACAACCACGATGTCGAGATCCACCTAGGAAGAATATACAATAGGTCCAGCAAACTAGAGTTCTTCTCCAAGAAAAAGACAAGTCGACAACTACTGCGAGCGTTCTCAACTGCACAATTCACATCTGCCATTCTACAATGCCACACCGAAGGACTCTTCACCCCGAAATCCACATAAGATAAAATAAAACACCAGTGCGGCGCAGCACGAGAAAAATATCCGTAATCCCGAATGCACAATCCCTATCAACCAAAATTTCTGTAATCTACAACACTACGTAACACCACTGCAACCAACTCTCTTGCGTACAAGCAATGTATACAAGTGAAACATCTCCCAGTTGACCAGGCCATCACGGTTTACTGTGTCACCTCCCACTCTGAATCACAGCACCCCGTGACGAGATCCGGCTCCCCCGGAGCGCCAGCTCGAAATAACATCTTCCTTTTCACTTCTAAACTGGGATACGAAAACACGAATCCAAAATTAAATCCAGCTTCCGTCCCGAACTCGTGTTCAGTTCATGAGTGCCAGCGCGACAACGCCAGCGGCTCCCCAGCCAAGCCCGCCCCTGTGCCCTGCCCCTCCGCAACTCCGAAACTCCGCTCCCGAGGTCCTGATCCGCGAGACGCCATTGTTATCGGGACTCAAACACACACTACCGGTCGCGGCGAGGTCCACCACCACCATCGCCGACTTGGAAACTTCAATCCAAAGCAATTTCGATGAAGAGCGCCCCCGCCCTTTCGCAGATCATGACCCGCTTCCCTGACGAAGACGACAGCTCGGGACTCTTCGGCGCCAATGCATGAATGGATGTATAAATGGATGAATGAGAGGATGAAATTGTTGATGAGGGTATGGATGACGATTGTTTGGATGAATGAATGCCACTATTGTCCCTTCTTCATCGATCTCGTAATCCAATTGGGTCCCTTTGCAATATTATGGAATTTTATTTGTTTTTGTTTTTTGTTTGTTTGTTTTTTGGATGAGCAAAGATGGGTACATTCTCAGAATGCCCAGTTTCGTGTTTTCCTTGAAAAGAAAAACGTGATTGAATGGTTTCCTATCCTCCAGTTTACTCTATTGTATGATTATGATTTGCTTTTAGATTCTTGTGCTCGATAGAAAACCTATAATCGTTGAAATTGTAATAAAAATAAATAAAAAAAGGAATTTGTATTGTTTATTGAAAAGTAGCTACTGTATAAAAGTTTAGTTGCGAAGTGGTTGCAAAAGTGTGTATTAGTATTTCTATTTCATGAATGTTTAGAATAAATATAATATGTCACATGTTTACTATAAATGGTCGTATAAGCTATTTTGTATGTACATTTTATTTGTTGTGCTTATCTTTCTTATCACGATGTCTGTCTATTTATCATAACAAAGTGTTTTTGTGCTGTAATTGGATTCATATTATCCAACAAAATACCATCATAGAATCCTCATATTAAAAGACAAAATACTGACTGCCTTTCATTAAAGATTACAGCATGCGCTTTTGTTTGATCTAAACTGTAAAAACTGTAGCAATAACTGAATTTTATACAAGTTCTAATGTTGTGTTTATGAATGAGAAGTTGAAAGTACAAATATACAAATAGGAAAGCTGCTTTAGTCTTGATTGATGAGATCACCACACAATCAATTAAGTTATCACACATAAATAAGCATTTCATATATATATATATATATATATATACACACACAAGAAAACACATTCCACTTTCATGAGTTCGATAATTAAGCAATTCAAATAATAAGAATGTATGTGTACAAAGGAAAAAACTGAGTTGTTCATACACACCTATAATTAGAAATAACAAGTTTAATTATAATTATATGGTACATTAATAATGTAAAATAATACGTGCTGATGCAAAACACAAGTGTTTACGAATTTTTACAGCTATACAAGCAGACACTGAAAGATTCAAACAATTAACAAGAAGTTCAAACAAAACTGGTTGTAAAACACAAAACCGCTGCTAAAACGAATCTGTAATACTTCTTATACAATCATGGATCTCAAATTTAAAAACAAAATTAGATGTATTATTAATAAGATAAAATATTTTGTTGTTTATTGATACAAATTTTAATTAAAGAATTGTGAATAGTGTGCTTATCATATTTCTAGTCAAAGAATAATCAAATATCACATAGTATGAAAATTGAGTTATAATATTTATGATTTTTTAATTGATTTGAATTTTTTCTCATTTCATCAATATTAGCAGATATTGGTTGTGTTTATTGAGGGCTTCACAGTGGGAACCATTTTAATGTCTAATTGATTTTTTGTGGTATAATTAACCCAAACTCTATCAAATGCAGCGATTGCAATTTTTTTTTTTTTTTTTTTTTTTTTTTTTTAATCTTACCACATATCAAATTTAGGATGTCGGTTTGACAAGACATTTGATGTTGCAATAATTCTTTAGTCAAAACTTGAATAAATTTAGTTGAGACTTAAAGTGGGACCTTTGAAACTTTTTCTAATGCTTGAAAACTTCCAAAAGACCTTTGAGACCTGATTGTGTTGTAGGGATGTTATTACCTGAAAATTGTCCTTTTGTGCCTTACTTTTTATTGAATAATACAACAATGCATGAAAGTATCTTTAAATTTCAATATTCGCTTCGCAAGAGGTAAAAAGTGATATATATATATATATATATATATTTTTATATATTGCATAAACGTGCATGTGTTTTATGAGGTCCTTTTATGCCACTGTAGTATTACTTTTATTAAAAGTCTAGAATTAAAGCCCACTTGTTATTTTATAAATTTCACTACTTGTTTTAATTAATCTTAGTTCGTTGACCGCTTTGAAACCAATCATATGTTGTATGAATAATGATGTATACATTGTTTGTGTAAGGTTTGATAAAGAGGTTTCCAGAAGGATATTCCATTTTTGTTTAAGCCTTACATATTCTATTTAAATCACAAGTTTCTAGCCAGTTGAATAATGAGGGCTTGCAGTTTAAAAATTAGCAACTATTTTATTACGTTTTGTTTTGTTTTTTTGTTTTTTTTTTGTTTTTTTGGCAATTTTTTAAGGAAAAAAATAAAATGTAATACATCTGCACATGCATAGATCTACAAATACAACAATATATGCACCATAAAAGAAAAAATCATGCAAGTTGAAAGAAACTATCTATTGATTGAATTTATTATCATTGATTTTGTTATTGAAAAGATATTGTCTTAAAATTAATTGGTACCAACTTTGAAACATAATGTAAGACTTGAGAATCAATATAATAATACGAAATAAACAAATAAGCAAACAACATTAGACAAATAAACAAACAACATAGGTGCCATATTGAGTATACAAGATTTCTTAAATAACCACAATTTAGCAAAGAATTTGAACAACTTGTTGCAATCTTTTCCAAATTAATGAATTTATTATATACTACTCTTTTTGAGTTTATTGTAGTTCTTTTATAGTTATAGGATTACAATGCTATTGTATATGGGATCGAACATTTTAACAAGTTGATGTTTTTACTAAATTATGATACTTTATCTTTGGCTTCAAATCTAAAAAGTCTATTTTTTTAATTTAATTTAATTTTTAAATGTATAGTGAAGGTACGAAAAATTTCCAATAATTTTTTGATTGGATTTTATGTCTATCTTTCTGAACATACAATAGAGACATTTTGAAAAAAAATCAAGAAGAAAATGGATATAAATAATGGGTTTAATTTTTAAATGAATTTGCAAGTGGTGTTATTAAATATAGTTCAATACAATAGTCTTAATAATCTATGTAATTTTTTTAAAATATTATATTTGTCATTAAAACTGACAAAGAAGAACAATAATATTACAATGCATCAAATAATCAAAACGTTAGCACTAAAAGTAGCATCTGAAACAGAGTCATCTAAAAGTTTGAAGTTTACATTATTCCATTCTTTTTAGCTGCCAAGTTATATAATAAAATAAAAAAGAAAACTTAAATACTTCACTAATCATAAAAAGACATAACATGAAATTAAAATTAACTACATAAACGATATAAACATAAAAAATTGCAAAAAATGTGAAGTGGGATATGGAAGTGACCAAAATATCTTCTTGAAAGTAGAATAAATTATCAGTTGTAGAAGGTTTCGTCAGACCTTCAGAGACAATATTCAATATATTTTTATATTAATAGTAAACTGTAATAAAAAATCCCATTTAAACTCATAAAGCACCTCAATTTTAATATTATTATGATTATTTAAATCATATAATGAAAAAGTTGTAGCTTATTTGAAAAAGTTTAAGTTGCATACTTGAAATTTTTTAATACAAATCAAAACATTAAACAAAAAATATTAATAAGAGTAATATATTTTTAGATTTATTAAAAATAAATGAAGGTGGAAATTATATGATAAGTAACTGTTGATTATGCCCTTCTTTAGAAAACGTATTTAAATAAATAAATAGAGTAAATTTTTACATGATTTAAGAATATGCATAGTGTCAAGGTGAAGCAGTGATGGTATTGTCAACGAAATCAAATTTCTATTTAATGGAGAGAAGTATGCATAACAGGAGCAACATAACTAAATGAATTTTTGTTTGCTGTTACAAATAGTTTATACCAGATTGCAATTCGACATCCTATTCTATTTAATTTTGCATCATCTATTACAGGTAGTTGCGTTTTTCTCTGGTATGGACAATTGAGACATCAAAGATCTACATTATTTCAAAAGTTAATTCCATGTATAACTGGACATAATTTAAGATCCACAGATGTAGATTCTATAGAATTATATCATGTATGTGTGTAAGGTAAGATGATTGTCTAGCCTTCAATTTGAAAACTCTTATAAGAATTACCACAAATCCTTGAAAAATTGCATGGTGATATTTGTAGTCCTATTAATCCAATATCGAAACCATTTTATTATTTTTTGTCCCTTTTTTATGCATCAGACAAACAATCACATGTTTCATTATTATCATCCCAAAACATGGTATTTGTTAATCTTATATCTATGCTTATTAATTTTTGAGCATATTTTTCTAATTATCCTATCAATGCATTGCGTATGAACAATGTAAAAGAATTTGCATCAAAGTCCTTTGAAGACTATTGTATTCCAACAGGAATTGTGTTAATATATTATGTTATATATAGACATACTCAAAATAAACTTGCAGAGTTATTTATAAAGCATATACAATACATTACCTGGCCACTCCTTCTTCAAGAAAAAATTACTTGCATCTATGTGGGGTCATATAATTTTGCATGCTGCAACATTAATACGCCTCTATCCTTCTTCTCTTGAAATTATTACACCACAAGAACTCATTTTAGGTGGTGTTCCAAATGTATCTCACCTACAGATGTTTCATTGTCATACTTGGGTTCCAGTACCAGAACATCAATGGCATACCATTGGAGCTCATCAATGAGAAGTCATATATGTTGGTTTTGATTCACCAAGCATTATTCATACAATTGATCCATTAACTGACAAATTATTATGTTCTCGTTTTCAAAATTGCCGTTTTGAAGAGAACATATTTTCATCTCTTTGAGAAAGAGTATTTAATCAACAAAAAAATATAATACTTAAATTTGGAGCACCAGAAACATTTACAATGAATCTTGATCCTAGAACATCTTTGGCTGAATATGAAGTTGCCAAGGTTTTGTATATAAAATGGATTACAGATGAAATACTTGATGGCTTCAATGATGTGCCTCGGATTACAAGAGTTCCAATTAATGAGGCTTAGAATGAACCCGCTCAAATTACAATACAACTAACAAATATATCTCATGTTGAAACATTAGCTATTGAAAGGACTCGTGGACTAGATAAGCAACCACAAAAGAAGAAAGCTATAACATATAATGATTCTAGTATTGTTTTTGTGGAAGTTCCTACTAAACCTACGAGACCATCAATTAATGGCAATATATCCATATACATTATACCTTCACCTCATGCAATAGAAAATCTTGAAATTAAGATGAACAAATCCAAGTTGAGTACAAAATTATCTATTCTATATTGTACTACAAATGATATTTGAGATAGACCATCTATTATAATAGATGAATCATTTGCATTCATGATTGCAAAAGCTCTTTCTTACGAGAAAGAGGATCTTAAATCTTAAACCATCTAAGAAGTGATGTGTTGCTCTGATTAGTTAAAATAGAAAACTGCCATCGAGGAAGAATATGCTTCTTTGTATAAGAAGAAAGTCTTTGGTCCAATTATGGACGTTCTTATTTCTTGCCTTGTGGGATATAAGATGGTATTAGTATGTAAGTGAGATGCTAAGGATCAAATAATCCGCTATAAAGCTTGTCTTGTTGTCCAAGGATTTACCCAATGGTTTGGCATTGATTATGAATCCACATATTCTCCAGTCATGGATTCAATTATATTCCAATATATTATTGGAATGGCAATTCATGCCACCCTTGAGATATGTTTCATAGATGTGGTAACTACATATTTGTATAGTTCTCTTGATGTAGATATTTATATGAAAGTTTTGCTTGGTTTAGAAATATGAGCTTCAAATACACCTACTTCAAGACAATATCGTAGTATTAAATTATATAAGGCTTTATATGGTCTAAAACAATTTGGATGCATGTGGTATCAATGTTTTCAAGATTATTTAATTATAAATAAGTTTGTAAGTGATCCACTAATCCCTTGTTTGTTTATCAAATGAGATTAAATTGGTTTTATGATCATCACTATATATGTTGATGATCTTAACCTAATGTGTACTAGATCTGCATGTATTGTAACTACTAATTTACTTATCCATGAATTTGAGATGAAAATGCTAGGAAAAATAACTTTTTATATTAATCTTCAGACTATGCATGTCGCAGATGGTAGCATTTTTCTCTACTAACTAACATATATTAGACGAATCTTATAAAGATTCAATATGATTGATACTTATCTATTGTCAACAGCAATGGTTGGACGCAGTTGTGATAGTCATGATCCATACCATCTGGGCAAGGAAGAGGAAGAAATATTGAGATAGCAATATCCATGCCTTGCAAGGATTGGAACACTTTTATATCTAGCTACATCTATTAATGCGGATATTGCATTTGCAATTAGTGTTTTTCTAAGACATAGTGCATGTCCAAATCTACAACATTGGAATAGAATCAAATATTTATTACATTATTTAAAAGGTATTAAAGATTTGAAATTATAATACATACGATATATAAATCCAAAATTGGTTGGATATTTTGATGTAGGATATAAATCTAATATTGTAACAACTAAATCTCAAATAAGCTAAGTATTCTTAAGACATGAAACTGCAATATCATGGAAAATGGTGAAACAAACTATAATTGCAACTTCATCCAACCATGCAAAAATTATTGCCTTACATGAAACATCTCGGGAATGTATTTGGTTGTGATCAATCGAAAACCTCATTGAAACAACTTGTGGACTTTCATATTGCAGCTATAATATTTATTGTAGACTATAATAAATCATGTGTAGCTATAGTATTTATTGTAGACTATAGTAAATCACATGTAGTGGAGAGAAACTATTTATCTTCTCCCCTTCTCTTTGTATAAGAGAGATAATCCTATCAATAAACTTCTTATGTGTGTGTTTTTACATGTATGTGCATATTACTTCCAGCTACTTTTGTCTCTTTCTCTTAAACATTCTCAACAGTCAGCACCGCTCTTGCTTGGCTCGCCGTCGTGACTCTGCTCCTAAGCCAAATCATCACGACACAAAATCATCTCCCCACTTATTGCATCAGGCACGCAGAGGCCATTTAAAAATCAGGATGAAGGGAAGATTGGGAGTCAGCTGCGGTGCTTCTTCGCATCGTCAGGATGTAGCGGATCATGCGATGCAATGGCTCGGTTGGAGTTCGGTGACCTTGTCAAATCAATTACCATCTTAAGGAAACTGGGTTGTTGTTGTTGTTGGGGGAGAAACTGAGTGATGCTCACTCCATCTGCAGCCTGCTATTCCTGGAACCCAAACATCGTCCATTATTATTATGCAATCTGAGACCCAGTTTTGTGTTTATTTTTACACGAGCTTAGTGTTTTTTTCTAAATAAAGTTACATCGAATTATGGGGTTTCGGTGTGGTCATTCTAAGCTAGCGGCTGGTGGCCGGATGTGATGCTGGTTGCCTGTGGGCTTTGTAACGTATTCCATGCGTCTTTCTCCTACGCCACGGAAGTATTCAGTCCATTTAGAGTGGTGGAGTGATGGGTTTTGAGTCTTGACATTGTAGGTGTGGTGTCAGAGAAGCCAGCTTTGCAACTACATTTGAGAGCCTTCATCAACTGATAGAGCTTCGAGGGATCTGTGACGAAGTGGTGCACTTGGGGGGTTCGAGGTTGATGCACTGTTTCGGTGGGGGTCGCCCTTGAGACCATGGGAATCCCTCGGATACGGTATCCTTTGACTTCATTATTGGAAAGTTAGAAAAAATTATATTTGCAAACGATGCCAGAAAGAAACGGAAGTCAAAGAGTGGGTGTCGTCATAAACAGAGGCATGGGAAGAGCTCCGTTGGCCCGTGGACAAGGTGCCCAGTGGGCTGCGGGGTTTGTTGGAACGCCGCCTATTTCTACACCAAGCACACCGCGGAGCGGCATTAAAGTCTCTGCGACATGCTGGAATCTGCTCGTGTTTTTTTGGTGGGATGCCAGCTTCTCCTGAGCATGGCAAGCCCTCAATCCTCGTAAATCAGTCAGGTGGGCTCCGTGAAGGCCCCACCCTTTGACCTGTAATTTGCTATTTTTTCCAGTTCGAGATCCGTAGGTCATGAGACCACGACGCCTCCTATTCTCACCGCCTTTTCAAAACAAATTCCCTCTTTGAATTGGCCAAGGTGGAGAAAAAGCCATTGCACATTACTTGTGCATCGAACAAACCTGCCGACGATCAGTCACGTTTTTCTTCATAAATAGGAGTCTTAGAAGACACCAGACGTCCACGACTCCGTTCACCAGTAGAAGGTGACATGTAATGCACTGAATGATTCCCTTTATAAAAATCAGTAGTGTGAGAGCTCTTTCGCTAGGAAATAACAGTATGGCGTTGCCTCGTTCACACTTTACAACACAAAAAAGCGGCACATTCAAATTTTGAATTGCTAGCAATGTTGTCAGACTGAATGTCCGGTGTACACATTGTAAATAGTAACTCATGAGTTTCTATTGTTGGCTCTAGATATGATGTTCTGTTAATCGACCACCTCAGATTCAAGTAAATTTAGATGGTTAGGAGTCTTCCATCGCCGCTGGCTCTCTATATGAGTATATGGATGAGGATTTTGTTAGCCTTCGCATGACTTGCGATTTCAAGCATACGGTGTTGAGGTTGGTTGTTCAGACACACGAGAGAGCACGTTCTTTTTAAGTGCAATGGGGGCATACCCAGATGCCCAAGTAAATGAATACGGTATTCAAATGCAGTGTATCTCCTCGAGTACTCCAAAATCGAGCGCACAGACGGTACCAACGATTCGTTACTCACACGTAGTATGGAAAATGGTGATGGAATAATCCGTTCATGTGATGACAACCTCCAGTCAAAGGAGGACTACGTTTCTCGTGTGCAAGTTTTATACCAGACCATTGGATTCAGAGACTTCTAGAGCCTCGAACTACGCCTCCAAGTCATTCGTCCTCGGAGAAGAATTCTATTGAAATCCTTTCAGTACTGGATAACGAGAATAAGTATTGCTGTGTCTAACGAACAGCCAAAGTCTGGTTTGGCAAGTTTACAAGGCAAGTCTCGGTTTAATCACCAGTGGTGAAGCATCCTTCTCATCTTCATCATCAGACTGTGCTGGTTTCGAGAAACTCCTGAGACGCGAAGGCTCACTGACTTCCGCAAGTAATCCTTCGTCATAAAAATGGATACCCTTCATGGATCGAAGTTTGAAGATTTGAAAATCATAGCAAAAATTTGATTACGTAATGGTTGGACTTCTACTCCGCTAGATGTCTCAGAATCGGTCGAACTGTTTTGATCACCAGACTCGTAAGTAATGTAATGAAGAGTGTCTTTATCAATGGAAGCATAAAATTGGACAAATCTATAGGACCCCACTCAAAGCCATATGTTTTTCTATCGGAGGTGTAGTTACAAACATAGGGTCAATTCTCAATTGCTTCGCAAATCTTACATGCGGTATCGCCATCACTGGGCCTTGCCAGTGCTGGTATCGAATTCCTCGTTTGGTCATCTGTAATGGAATGAAATTTACTTGCACACTAAGATTCTCATCGTCGTCGTCGTCGTCGTCGTCATCATCATCGCCATCACCATTCAAACCTAAAGTAATCGAGTTCTGACTTATGGGTTACTCAGATGCTCAGTAGACAAAATCACCACTAATCGTAGATCACCAAAGGGCGCACTTATTTAAACGTGAGATCTAATCCTTCGTCGAGACGTACATATCTCTCGAAGTATTAGATTTCACAATTGAATAAGTGTGCCCTTTGAAACACGTGACACCTGATTAACCGTGTCCACCTTTCGAACGTGATTGACTTAAGGTGAAAGAGGCTCATACTTCGTAGGTGAAGGGACGTTCTTAAGTGGGACTTGGTATTTCTGCTGGTCCTCAAATAAAGATCTAGGCAAAGACTATCCAAACAAGTCAGAAGGCAGCGGAGGCCACAACGGATTATGAGAAAGCGAATTCAGGAAGCGGCATCACATTCGCTCCAAGGAAATAACTGGATCCACCCTGCACACTGAATGATCTATTTAGAAGAAAGAGGGAGAGAGAGACAATTAACTACACAATCGTTGCATAAGAAATTGATCAGGAATGTCAGGGAGCTCGCATGGATATTCCGTTTATACTAACAGCTAATCATTAAATATAAGCACAACTAAGCTCAGCAGCAATTCTTTTCATCAACTTCAGTTTCACCCGTCTTGGAGGTGCATGTACCGAGAGCTTCACAGTTATCCGCCCATTTCAGCATAACATAAGACAACATCCAAATAGACACATCCAACTTTTCTATGACCCTTCAAAATGTAAGTATTTAACCAACTTGGGATGCCGTTTTACTGAGCTTTAAGATATAGTAACAGGCATTCCACCAATCCCCAACATCTACTCAAGCGTAGATCCTCTCAACTTCGAATTTGAAGTCACATTTGTGACTGATGCGAAGGAACGTGAAGCATATTTTCATGCACTGACAGCATCTTACACTTGCATGTTGGCCTGATTTCAGGTTATGCACACAGGTTACCGTACTCACCGTTCCCTAAGCTTCAAAATGCTTCATAAATACCGAAACCTGCATGGCGGTGGTTATTACTCCCAAGATCTCTGCTTGATAACGATGCTCCACCTCCTGGTACGCTTGCTTGAGCTGCAAAGCACATGTAACGTTAGTTTAAACTGATGCAAACACATCAAAACCCATGACGTTAGAAGCCGTTCAAAAAGGAGAATGTTAGTTCATATACGCCAGCCGTGTTGAAACCTGTAATAGGTTCCGAAGCTTACAGTGTGAAGTGTATCCTAGTTCGTTCTATCCTGTATTGAATTCATAGATAATCGGGAAGATGTGTAATTACACAGCAGATCCTTTCAGTGCAGATTCTCACTTGTGTTGCAAGTGTCCAATGTATCAATCCATCTAAAATTTAAGTGTACGAGAGTAGACAGTGCACACAAACAACTCCATCGTGAACCACTCTCGGCAAACTGATATCAAGAACTCATCCCATCAACCCAAACTATTTGTCGGGGGAAGAGAAGCAAATAAAAAGAGACTTAAAACCTCGTTTTGAAAACCAAAAATTTCGAAACCGGACGTCAATTGATTACAGCTAAACCAAGATCTTCAACTTGAGATCTACAGTTAAAATGACCCACAAAACATCTACAATGTAAATAAGGACGCTATACTGGAACCAAGAATTGACAAATACTCAGACTGAACTCGAAAAATGCATCAACTCAACCAACGAAAATAAAAAATCTGCCTACTTCCACTGGATCAAACATGAATCCATCAAAATAAAACTTAGAAATTTTGACAATACATGGGAGGTAAGAATCACATCAAATAACACAAACATTGAGAAAACGAAAAATCGTCAAAAACCTCCATACCACACCAAGGATTGACTAACCTAGCAAGCGTCATCCTCAGCGCGTTTCGCACTCTCCCTCTTGCACTCTCATCAGAGACCACCAATCTGCGTGAAAGTAAGATCGATTAGTGTCTCTTAAGACGTTGCAGATCATGTCGCAACTAAATATCGCAGCACAAGCGCCGAAGCAACAGAAGTAACCACGGTAGCCCTGCAAAGAAGAGAATTGCGACACCCGAGGTGAGGAGCTTGCAATCTGTAGTTGCTAGAGTCGGAAAAACACGGCACTCACGATCGCGTTTCGACAAGTTTTCCCCGCTTTTTTGAGGCGTTGAAAACTTGAGCCTCCGCTTAAAGTCCCTCTGTGAGTGTTAAATTACCTTCATGTGGGTGTTTGCAAATCTTACGCCGAGGTAGACCTGGCAGTTAAAGTAGAAGAACCCCAGGAGATCCCATTCGGATTCATTCTGTAGACTCACATCTACAAAATGTCCCTTATTTGGTGTATTGCCGCCGACCGCTCCATAAAGTGTTTTTTGCAAGTGGACATTCACTTTGGGTTGCAAGTTGCTTGAATGTACATGTTGTCCTGTAAAACATGAATTGATAGTAATATGATCTTCGATACGGAAGAAAATGACACTGAGATTCGCCAGCAGCGCCAATGTTGCTTCGAAATTTTCAGTAGGGAGTTGAAGTTAGGATCGGAGGATCGCCATAGTCAAAGGGTTGGAGGATCACAGGAGAAGGAGAGTGGCGCCGCTGCAGGAATCGGGCATGACGGTTATGGCGGCCTCTTTGTCATTTCCCTCCCCCTCCACTGTGTCTTTGCGATCGTCTTTGTTTCGTCCCTGCTTGATTCGGCGTGATTCGCAGTTGACGTATAGAATTTTGCCATCGCGGTTGGGTTCCATTGACCCGGGGCGATGCGTGGCACAGATTTCTGTGGCAGGGTTCTCCGAGGCGCTGCAGAGCGGGTAATAAATTAGACATGTTTCATGTAATGGGAGTTGGCTGCGATTTTTGCTGGCGATGTTCTTGCTTGATGGTTTGATTTGTCCTTGAAACGGTGTAGGAGTTGAGTCGGGCGACATTTTTAGGGAGGATTGTTAACGATGACTGCAGGGATTTCAATTTTTTGAAGGCGGGGGTTGAAGTTGCAGGTGGTACAGAGTAGCATATTCATTGTTTGATAGTCTTTCATCTACGGATTTCGCTGGTTAATTTTGCATTGATGAATTACCTTAGATGCTGGATCGGTAGCATTCTACAGTATTTTCCGATCAGGAAAGATGTGGTTCAGTGGTGTTTGCGATTTTCATGCAGGTTAGGACCTGAAGCCTATCAATCTATGACTAAATTATATAACGATGTTTTTGTCAACTATGCAAAACTAGGCGTTCATCTTCCTGATGACGAAAATGTAAGTGTTTCTAACAGTGTCCAGTTTTCATGTCGGCTCTGTGATCCCATATGTGTGTTTGAATTGGATACGACTACATGATGAATGATTTAATCGGCAGTGAGCTCTTCCTGCGATCATAGCTGAACTTGTGTTCAGATATTGGAATAGTCTCATGGCATTATTAAGTTCTTTGCGTTGATGCTTTGAATAATTAATATACATAGTAATACTAGTCTTTCTGCATTGGGTTTTGATCCTATTATTGTATTGTAAACTAGTATTTTCACTAATCATTTGTGAGTTACAAGTAGGCGTTGACATCGAATAAGTTGATTGATACTCAGCAACATAGAGGACCAGCTTTGTTCAATGTTGAGATTAAATGCAAAATAATGAATGCAGTCAAAAGGTTCAAGCTGTTGATAAATATCCTGCATGTTTCTATCCAGGCTGTGGGATACTTGGCCGTTGCTCTTCCTGCTGCGTTGCTGTACTTAACAGCAACTCCTGGCCCAATCGCAGGTCTTCTAGATTTTGTGCGAGATCGTGCTGATGTGAATCGTTCTCTGTAAGCTTTTTGTACGACAGTCTTGCTTATCTTCCGGGGTTAGCCTTCTTGTAGAAATAACATTCCACGCGAGGCATTTATGTGATTTTTTTGGATAAGACGTAAGAATGTCAATTTCTGTGAAGTGATCTGGATGTATTGATCGCAAATTACTGTTAAACTGTGTATCAGTTGTTGCTTAAATAATATGGCGTCTTTGCTCTTCGCACATTATTGACAATCGCAGACATCAATTGTGCTTGTGGAATCCGCACATGTGAACCAAATTTGCTCTAAACATTTTTATGTTACCTGTCACATGTACATTGGCAGTACTTTTCGTGCGCATGAAGTTAAAATTGGACGTCTGATGGGTGAGGGGTCATTTGGAATCGCCTATGAGGGCTTCATACACAAAGGTACGTGTGGCAATTTCATTTCCAATAGACTTGCCTAATTAGAACGGGATCTATCTGATTTTGAGGTTTTAGTGATTAGTAACTAATGGTATGATAGATCTCCTGTTTGGGTAATTTGATCACTTGATGGGATTCCTGACTTGTACCCTAAGTCGCAACGATTATATTTTCATTTCAGGAGGGAAGAGACCAGGGAAGCAGCCACTGCACGTGGTATTGAAAAAGAATAAGGCTAGGGTAGCGGGTGCAAATCAAATGCTCAACGCGGAGATACACATGAATCAACGTCTGCAGGTTTTTTTCTGTGGTCCATGCGTTTTTACCATGCAGAGACAAGACCAGAAATAATGAGCAGTTGTTGTAGTAATTCATAATGATAGACTATATAATTTTCTTTCTTCGATTTAACAATTTCATTCTGAAAAAGAAAAAAATCTGCTTTCTGCACCCAAGGAACTGATTGATTAAAATGTTATTTCTGGGGACTTGGTGTGATCAGAGAACATCACCGGAAGCTATCGCCGATTTTCTGGGCACCGTGAATGTTTCTAGCTCTCAAGCTCGGGGCAAGCTGACGGAGGTTTGATTTCCAACGTTTTAAATAATTTGCTGTAGTCATTCCTGTGATAGTGAGTCTCGTTGTATGTTTTGATTTGCTTGGAAGATAATTCAGAAAGACAATACCTTGCGATTGTGATGGGCTATAAAGAGGTTGTTGGTTTTTGTGATGACACAAGTCAGTAAATGTAATCGATAGGTTCGTCTCCTCTGTCTTAGATGCTAGTTTGTTTCATTTTGCAGGGAGTTTGGTTAGTTTGGAAATATCAAGGGCATTGGTCGCTGGACCACTACATGAAGCAGAAGAACTTTCCAGAGAACATTGCCGAAGCCGTTCTTGGTCAAAAGGTGAGGTTTCTACTCTTCTATTACGTTCTTTCTTTGTCTTGTATTGGTTCTAACTTCTATATAAATAAAAATTGCGGGTAGTCCTGTACAACCTCTTGTTAGAGTGAAAAGTTTTGTTAATTGTTATTATCTTTCAGTGTGATCTTGAAAACGGCAGTAGAAAATTAGTCATTATGAACTTGTAACTGTTGCTAGCAACGTTTTTTTGGCATGTATCTTGGTGTCTTCGAGGTTCTTACATGGAGGTTACTTTGTTTTGGTTACATTCTTAACAGGTGAAGAACACTGCTTCTAGAGCAGCTCTGAACAAGCAGAATGCTCTTGTTGTTCGGAAAATTATGCAGCAAATTCTCACTAACCTGCGTGACTTGCATCGATCAGGCAAGCTTAGATCCTTGTGTCCGCATTCTGCCTGGAACGTGGTTGATAGTTCACCAATCGCATGTTGGAAAAAGAAAGATTGACGGTTTTTTAATGCAGGAGTTGTTCATCGGGACTTGAAACCTCTAAATCTGGTCCTATCTGAAGATTCTGGCTTCTTCAAGCTTATTGATCTGGGTGCTTGCGTTGATATCAGATCAGGATTCAATTATGTAAGGCTTTGCTAACCCACTGTAAGTTTTGGTTTCTGAGCCTATTTTTTCAGAGAAGTTGCAAAACCATAGGTAAAGGTGGAAAGTACTGATCCTTCTCCAACCACTTCATGGCATAATTTTCACATATTCAATCGAAATTTTGTTCAGTATCATCGTAACTATCTAAATCTTTTCTTTGCTGCATGTCTCAGGATCCATTTGAGACTGTCATTGACCCAACATACGCCGCTCCCGAGCATTATGTGATGCCTACTTCCACTCCTACTTTGCCTCCAGACCCCTTGTGTTCTATGATCTCTCCCCTTGTCTGGTTCCTCAACACTCCAGACCGATTTGACCTCTATTCTGCTGTAAGTACCGTGTAATTTTTTGAATTATGACCATTTCGCACATGAAAGTAGTTCTTTCTGGAACATCCGGAATAACTGCAAATCTTAATTTTGCTTCTGTGTCGGAATTGCGTGGAATGATGTTGATTACTTGTCATTCAGATGCTGAAAGAAAAGAGTCATTTATGCAGGGTCTTATTCTGATGCAGCTATGTGTAAAGCAGCTACGCCAGGATGTGGGATTGGTAATATATCTTGTAATACTTTTGACCTATTGTTCCTCTTGTACCAGTGCGGTTTTAACGGTGAATGTCGTATGCGAGGCCTTCCTTGCTCTACTGACTACAGCAAAATAACTGTTAGCGAAGGAAATCAATCTAGAGCATAATTTCGTCCATGTATTAGTAACATCTGTGTATGTAATAGTGTGTATTGAACTCCTAGTGTCTCTTGTTCACTACTTTCCGCAGCCATCTGAAAATTGTAAGAGCAAAGTAGCTTGTTGTGATAGCATTCAATCCGCACCATAATTATATGTGCTCGTTCAATTTTCTACCTTATAGAAAACTTTCAGTACTCAATTTAAGCGGGACGGCTACGACTTGGATGTGTGGAGAAAAAGATGCAGTATTAGTAGCGAGGAATTTGCGGTACTAGACGCTGATGGTGAGTCTTTTGAGGTCTTGCTTGGGAATGCTCTTTCGGCATTGTGCATTGGTTTGATTTCTCCTTCAAATAATTTTACTTGGGTCATATGGGTTGCAAGTTTCAGTAATTTTATGTTTCTTGATAAGCTTTTATTCATGGTGATCTTTGTAACCAATCTAGTCCTTTTTTTATTTCTTAGACGGTGCTGGGTGGGAGCTCGCAAAGGCTATGCTTCAACCTAGGCATGACAAGGCGTTCTTCATCTGGCCAAGTACGTCATATTGTTACATTCTCTTGTTTAATTGCCTCATACTTATTTCCTTACGGTCACATAAGCTTGCGTATGGAGGCTTGAGTTTGAATGTTTTTTGCTAGCGACCATCAAGTTAAGATCCAACACAAGTTTCCTCGCTTTGGCTACAGGTCTTCGCAGCAGTCGTCCTTCAGCTGCAGCTGCTTTGCGTCATCGCTTCATCCGTGGCACCTTTTTACCACGGCGAATTAATATAGCCAGTCTTGCACCTGACATCACTTTACTTCCATCTCTTCCTTCTCTGCCATCTTTGAGTCAGTTGCTACGTCCTGTCTTCTCTGGAGAATCAGCGAAGGAAGCAGCAGTTAAGCAACTCACAAATTTGCGAGAAGCATCAGGGAATATCAACCCGAAGCGTGTAATAATTGCTCTTGGAGCAGCCCTGCCTACAGCTGCCACAAGTGCTTTCGTTTTAACAATAGGCTGGGTGGTAAGTTGAAGGCTTTTTGATTTGGTTCGTTTTCTTATTCAAATTGGCTAACAGATGTTCAGCACCTTTTTTCTATGACCTAAGGTTTCTTATGTTGCTTCAATGAAATTGTGTTTTGTACGTCTTGTCGAGTGGCTTAGAGTTTCTTTTAAGTACTGTCAAACATTTTATCACATGTTAATCGCACCTGCATATGCTGATTTGTTCACATACGACTCGTAGACCCTGGCAACGCTGAAAAGCTCAACGCATATTTCTTATGAATTGGGTCGATCTGTGGCCAATAGCGTGGGTCTAAGTGGATCGGCGTGTTTAGTTTTCTTCCTCTTTATCAAGTAAGTCAAGATTTCTCTGTCAAGCCTCTTTAATGTTTGGTTTTGTCGTTGAAAATAGAAGGAGACACACTTTTCTTGTTTTTCTTCTTCTACCCTCATTTCTTATTTTGATCTTCATTAATCTGATGATGCTCCATTTATATTTTACAGGCCACGATTGAAAGAGCATGAACTTGCAAGCAGAAGAGAAATGGATATGCAATCTAGATTAGAAGCAGAGGAATCAACACTGATTAATGTTGTCCGCCCTGATCCTCCAGTGTACAATCAGACGAAGCTGCCTTCCACGGGCCAACAGCATGGTCCATTACGTTTCAAGACCGGGCTTTCAGAAGCTGTGTTAGCCATGGAGGCTAGCCTAGCCTCGTTGGAGTCTTCTATACAGCGAGAACAAGAGTTCTCTGCAGAACAGCAAGAGAGACTGGCTAGGGTTAGTGCATTGTCCTTCCCCTACTAACTGAATATCTTTGTGTAAGTAATGAAAAGTTATTTCTTTGAATCAACTGATAGCCATGCCTGATTTGTATTTCATCATTAGGAAACTTATTTTCTAGTATTCAGGCTCTTCAATTCTAGAAATATTGTATTTTACAGTAGTTTTCTACCTATGTGACTTGGATTCTACTTTTCAACAACTCTGCTGATTTGTGATTTGATTGTTCAGATGAAAAAGTTGCTTATTACACCATCTGGAATTTCCCTTGCATCTCCAAGTGAAGCAGCTGATGTGCCATTGTCCACCAATGGTGCCAATGTAGGAAAACCTTTTTCTGAGTACATTAGTTGAAGACTTTTGCATAACGAGTCGGTGCATGGCGTCAGCAACAAAACCAAATTGGCATCCAAATCACACTGGGAATATTGTGAACGCCCAAACGAGTGTGTTCAGCGGACGAGCCATATGGTAACGTCAACAAATCAATTGATCCACGTTCCTCAATGTACAATGCTGCAAATCATAATCATCTTGATGTATTACTGGGTGCCATTTGGCATGATCTGTGCGGTGTCTTGAACAAGCCCAGAGTAAGAGGTTGTCTTAGTTCTGGAGTTACAGCGTATCGCAAAAACCAGTGTACTGCTTCAAATCAGAGGGAGCAAATTTTATATCATTTGTTTGTTGTTTGGAGTTTCCTAGCACATATGCTGAAGCTGAATATAGGATCACTAAATTGCCTCCATTTACCATACTAATATGGATGTAATTCAAAATTTGAGTAAACTGGCTTGTTTACAGTAAATTGAATTATAATGCTACTTGTAGTGACTGTTTTTGTGTTATCTCTGTTAGTTGTTTCTATAACGTTAACAATCTTTTATGAAATTAGATTTCTACAATTGAATGTTAAATTTTAATGTTTTGAAATACATATGTGAACATATAAAACCTCCGTTCATAAGTTATTGAATAAAACTAATTTTATTTCTGTTTCATTTAGTAACACATCATTCTTTTAAAGTGGTGTAAATGAGTATGAAACTACAACTTAACGAACGGTCAGTCAAATTATTCCGTCGTCAAACTCTTGTTTTGCACATTTTCACTCAAACCCAATGTGATACACAAGCAGATGTTTTCCTCCAAAAACCATGACATTTAAAACTTGACATGTGTAAAGCACTTTTCCATGGATCACAATGCATGAGTATTCTTCAAAATTAAGTTCCACACCTCAGTCAATGACCTGCATTCAACAATTATTACAGGTTCGCAACACAAATCAGGGTTCTCCGTGTTCAAAATGATGACACATCATCGTTCCCACGGAGACCTTTACAGCTAGAATTAAGGTTCTAAGGGCTCCCATCCCTCATGCCCCACAGTACCAGAGCGTTTCGTCCGTTACGTCAACTGCCTTATCGTCGACGCCAGGAACAGATGCTTTCCGGACCATTCAAATCCACAAGTTGGCTTGTTGCGGATTTGCAGGATGGCTCGATGTGAAAAGCTCCGGTGCACTTTTCCGACGCCGCTCCATACCTCATCATCTGGCGGATCACGCCTTCGCGTACGCCAAATGGATTCCTACCAAGTGGCAGCGCCGGAGGTCCAGATGTCCAGGCGCAGTTCAAAGAGGCCCCCAACGCCTGGGATCACTGCAGCTTCTGCTGGATTGATCGTCGATCGTTGTGGGAGCAAGGTCGCGCCCGACCCAATTCATAAGCAGGCACGTCATGGAGCTCCCCCTGAGTATGGACCTGAGAGAATCCAGTTTCTAGTTAATGGTATGTGGGCTGCTTTGAATGATTGGCACGTAATGCGGGATTGTTGTTGCTCTTCTCAATCTTGTTCTTGATTTTAAATTTTATTTTTATTTATTTTGCCTCCCCCTTTCTGTTCTTTTTCTTCTTCTGATTATTGAGTTTTGTGAAGATAATGTCTTAGGAGTCGTTGTAAGTTTGGAGTTTTTTTGAGGTAAGGATTACATGAGATGTGTATACATATGTGATTTTTTTTACAATTAGTGTTTCTGTTGTTAAAGTTGGATTTTCTTGGGTTTCGTCACGTGTCAGTCGCAATGCTGTAGAAGAGGGGAGAGAAGCGTTGTTTAGATCACGAGCTGTGAGCTGATCTCAATGGTTCTTATGTACATTAGTTGCTGGTCGTTTGCCTCACCAACTTCCATGGCTTGTGAGAAATTCAACCACGAAGCTGCACTCGCACTTGAGTTTTGATAATGTGGATAGCTACCGTGGCTTGGATGTGAGAATTTTTTTTTAAGGCGCTAGAACATTTTGAATGTTTTCTTCATGAAGAAGTTCGATTCTTCGCAGTTGGGTAGCGCCTCTGATCAACTGGGTATTTGTCCTCTGCCGGACAGCGGATAGATTAGCAGGGGTGTTGCTTTTTGAACAGGTGTGGAATGTTGTTTGTAAAAGGTTCGGAAGTACGATGCTGGCGCTGTCTCCTCGATCCCTCTCCTGTTCTCGTGTAACCGCTGTTCGTTGTAGCGTTGAAGTCCTCTTCGTTATTCGTCTGAGCAATAATACAGTCCAAAATCAATGTGACCTTACTGCTGTACATCGTGTATTACACTAGGAATAGGCATCAAGGATTGTGCTTCTCATACATCTGGATTGTTTCTTGATTATTACTTGTGGGTCATTGGGTTGGGGTTTCGTTGGACACTAAGTAATATAAGTCTTGATACCTATGCCTGATTGGAGAGTTGCTATTTTCTTTCCGCTTTGTGCAGTGCAAGCTACTTATTGGTCTCCTTGTCGTGGTCCTGAAAATAATTTGCTCAGGTGATAACGAACCAGAGGAGTGGTGTTTAGAGTTTATAACTTTGAACCGTCAATAGACGAAAACTTTTTCCTCCGGAAAGATTGTAGAGAGCGAGTTATATCTTCCAAATAATTTGGAGGGCGTAAGTTTTGTTTGTTTGATAATTATTACACAGGATAATACGGTAGTTTCAAAGTACGAAAAGCATGACTTTGATGCTTCGAAACTTGGACTTTTTTTTTTTTTTTTTTTTTTTTTTCGTTCTTATTTCCCACTTCTATGGGATCGTGTGTGACAGATTCAAGACATTGGTGATAAGCTGCATAATCAGTTAAATTTGTGGTCACAATGGCGGATACACCTACTGATTCTCTTCGCAACCATTACCTGCTCACAAGGTGGGCTCCGGAGAGAGGCTTGGTTTCGGCAGATGGATTCCAATGGATTGATGAACGGCTGCAAGAAGCGCGCGTAAGCTTGGTAAGGCCTAACAGTATGCGGTTGAGAAGCAGAAACAAGGCAAGCGGGACGAATGATATTTTTGGCAGTGGTACGGGTAGCAGTGTTAACAAAGGAGGCGCTCTTGGCTTCGCTAGCCTCACTGGAGGTCTTGCAGATCCTCAGGTAAACATCAAGAATACAGATCAATAATCTGGGCTGTTTGAGAAGAGTATTGAATTTGTAGATTTTATGATACATTGTGCGGTGACCAATTCATATGGGCGAGGTTGTTTCGTTCGTATCTCACTGTTGGTACTACAAGTTATTCTTTTGCCCCGGTGTGGTAAGACCTTGTATTGCTGGATCCCGACTGTGCTTGGGTCCCCGAAAGATAAGACATTCGGGTAAAATTTTATTATACGCCACATTAAGGCTGCGAAACCACAAGCTGACGCGTTGCTTTAGCAACTTGAATATCCCAAAGAAATTTCATTTCCGATACATGGACTTGCTGTCTTTCAGAATTCGATGCGTATGAGTTTAATATAAGGACCATACCAAGGCTGTCTGGAAGGGAAAACAGTACCATCCAACCTCTGTGCGGTCCCTGAGAGGGGAATCTAACAGCTGATGCTATAGGATTGGTATATCTAATCGTAGAAGTCTGGGATTTTACGAAATTTGCGAAAACATGATTTCCTGCTGGAATAGTCAGCGTAGAGCATCTCTGCAAGAAAAAGGAATGGCAAGGGAGATTTTTCTTGCAGAGATGCTCTACACTGACTTCAAATTGTCATTGAATCTGCAATCTCACTTTGAAGAAGATATGTGGATGGTTCGTATTTTAAAGACTTAATAACGGTAAGTCTTCATTCTAGGGTCAGAACATCATAGATGCATGATCTTCGGAATATGTCAAGAGAATTGTGTACTGACTCTTAACGTCCTGGGTTGGTCAACGCAGCGAGAAATTAAGGAAACTGAGGACCAGGTGCTGGATCAAGCTGACAGAGTTTTAGAGAAGGCAGAGGATTTCGGAGGAAAGACTGAGGAATATGCTAAAGATCATCGGGTGCCCGTTCCACAGGCAAACCTTCCTTTTTTGGGGCCAGTTCGGAGCTTGGTGCTCAAGCAGGTCTGTCTTCAACTTTTCCGAAATTTTGACTTCAACCAAGGCAGTTACTGATTTTCAAAGAGGTTCTGAGTTTCATGAGTTTCACTTGATTTTGTAATGTTCAAAAATCATCATTATCTCATTAAGTCTCGTTTTCGCCCTTCTACTCTGGCAGTGGTTCTACTAAATGTTATTTTATGGAGTAACGAATCGATACCAATCTTAACATGCTAGTGTATATTTCTTTTAGTTCTTTTTGACAACTCGGATTCGTAACTGTGCAGTTAATATGTGGAGTTGTAGCTGGCGGGGTAGCTGGAACCCTGGTTACTCCGCTTGACATCGTTAAGATGCGTGTTCTTGGCGGTCATGGAGGCCGCTCAGTTGGCCAAGTTATTAAGAAAGTGGCAGAAGAGGAAGGAGCTGATATTTTAACGAAAGGAAGCTTCAGCATTAGCATTATTCGTAATTCACTTGACAAAGGCATCCAGGTATGGGTCTATGGTGATGTGGAAGTTCAAAATTTGAAGCTATCGCCACCACTTTTTGAACTTGTTGATTCTGTTTTCGTGATTAACAACAAAGTCCTCATGGAAATATTATTGATTTCCGCAGTGTAGAAGTATTGATGGTTGTAGGTAAGATGTTGCTCTAAGAAGTGATGCACGCTTTATTTTGAATGCAGTTCGCAACTTACGAAGCAGTGAAGAGAACCGAAAAGAAGAAAGACATGAAAGATCCTAAAGTGTTACCTTTGCCTCGTGGTATCCCCCTTGCCACATTAGCGGGCGCTGCAGCTGGGTTCACATCAACAATATTACTCTATCCTTTTAAAGCTGTCAATGACCGTATAGTTTTGAATGTAAGTCAATTCCATACGTGTCTTTGTCTTGGAATGCTTCATCTTGAAATGTGCAACAGAAAAAGAAAAAAAATTGTAAAAAACACGATAAACTTTTGTCTCTGGTGCTAGGTATAAGATTGCAATTCATACCCTTCACAAGTGCGTAATGCTGCCTGGCAGCTCAAATATCAGATGTCAAGGATTTTAACTGAGGCGTGGATCCTCTGTTACAACTTTGGCAGAGTGGAGCATACTCAGGCTTTTTCCCAGCTTTCGCTCAAGTCTATAAAACTGAAGGTTTTCGTGAGCTGATGCGGGGAATAACTCCAGCCCTCATTAAGATGGTGCCAACTGCAGCTGCCAGCTTCTATACTTACGAAACCCTCAAGGACAAGTATCTGAAAGAGAAGGGTAAGAAAGAACTTGACAATTGGGCTTCCCTGACAATTGGCGCAGTAGCTTCTGCTGTAAGCACAACACTGACTTATCCTCTACAAATAGCTCAAAAGGAGATCAGCTTCAGCGCGTTGCCCAAGGAAGCTGTGCATGTTGGCAGGAATCTTCAGTATACAAATGTCATTCAAGCTTTGAACGGTATCATCGAAAACGAAGGCATTGGAGGCCTTTATCGTGGTCTACCAATAGAATACCTCGAGATAGTGCCCATGACAGCTATCTCATTTGCTGTTTATGAGTTAGCAAAACGAGCTTTCATTGCTGTCAACGAGGAGCGTCGAGATGAGGCGAAAGGATCTCCCGATGAGTGACAACCATCAGACAAGTCCATTTCTCAATCCAGGCTTTGCTGATGCACCCTAACATGAGCTACTCAGGAGTAGTCTTCAATGTATAATAGTGTATATTATTAACCAGTTATGGTATTGATTTACATTGTCCAGTCTGATTGGTCAATCCTTGATTACCTGCTCATTTTTACCATTTAGTAGTTCTAAGAACTTCAAATGACTCAACAAAACTCAAACAACTCGCATGGACCGTGATAACAGCACATTTTCTGTGCAGCACAGATAATAGTTTGCTTAGGTTATTATTTAATTAACTAAGTTTGATGGATGTGATATGAGTGAACACTAAACAGAATGCATTTCATGATAAGGTTATGAAGTAACATGTTGTATGTTATATGGCTCTTATTACGATGAATTTTCTTCTTTTGTGCATATTACATAGTTTGAGTCCAAAGACTTTCTTAGATCATTGCATTAGGATGTTGTATTTGTGCCATTTTTCATATTTTATGTTGAAATCACAATTTCTAAAGTTGGATGAGTTGAGCCAGAACACAAAAAAAGAAAGTAATAAGTCAATTTCGCTGAGAAAGATATAGTTGCTCTTTTACACTCAAAATCATTTGGTATTTGGGGAGGTGACAAAGGAAGAAAAAATTCATTTCTTTGTATTTTATTTATTTATTTATTTATTTGTGTGTTTTTGTCTACAAATGAAATAAAAACTTTGCAGTAAGATATCCATCAAAACTTAGTCAAATACACTACCAAATTTCATATCCATCAAACTTTGTTATATATATCATCAAATTAAAATATAATTTTTTTTTGAAATAAAAACATAATACACCCACTATTTTGAGTGATATAATTTTAAAGAAATTTGTCTTTGTTAAAGATTTATGATAAAACTGGTGAATTATGTTATGGTTTCTTTCTTCTTCTTTTTCTCCTTTTTTTTTTATATCTTTTAGTTTTTGTTGATTACATTTTATAACTTTTTTTAATACATTTTGTATAACTCTTTCATTCACTTAAAAAAGTGTACTATTTTTATTTATGGAATATTTTACTAAAACATTACCCTAATACTTTATAGTTTAAAGAAGAGATTTACTATGTATATGTAAGGGTGCGTGACATGGGAGGTGTCCACCTAGTGGTTCCGTTAATTTATTATCTTGTTCCATTGAGTACAGAACATTCTAAAGATACTTTAAATTTGAACCAATTTGAATTTGCCAACATTTTTAGATGTATGTAATGTTAATTTTTATTTTATTGTTAAAACAATCAAATATCAAAATTAAAAATCAAACATACAACATTACATTTCTAAAAACCTTTGAAGTAAACTATATACAATAAAGTATTTGATATGAACTATAAGTTTGAAATATGTCAAAAGATTTCAAAGTTCAGTTAATGCAGAGTAAAATGTTGATTCCCATAGCTTTGATGTCATAAATCTATAATTAGACTAACAACTAAATCGTAATAGTAGCTAAAGTTGAAAATAAAATGGGGATTATTTTTATTGAAAATTAAATATGGATTATTTTTATTGGTTTAATTAGTACTATTAATATTAATATAAGCTATTAGTAGGTAAATCTATAAATACAAAATAAATAGCACATCTTTTTTATTAGACCAATACTGTTGCATCTTTTATGAGAAAATTTAAGAAATTAAAGTTCCATTTTAAAGATAGGTCAATATTACAAAGATGTGATTTTGTTTAGGGCTTAAAGATTTCCGTTAAAAGATAGTTAATAATACTATGATAATTTTAAAGAATTTATACTGTCAAAAAATATATATATAACCACAAATATATGAATTACAGAAAGATAAGTGTTTTTAGCTCTAACCATTCAAAGTTGTTGCTAAAATTTGGTAGTATAAAGCCCAAATTACTTCAATGTTTTAAGCATGCTCATAAACTTAGTGATATTTTCTTTTTTCTTGCTTTCATTCACTCAAAAATTTCTGTAGATTTATCTTCTCAGATTTTTTAATTTTTAAAAACCTGCACTAATAAAGTTATTACAAGTAAAGAATTAAAATAATCTTCTTCTACTTCATCCTACACAAACAATAAACATTTCCCCACAAATGAGAATTACTATTTGAGGCCAGTTAATTATATGTTAATTATATGCATATAACATTATATGCAATGGTACAAATAGAGTTGATTTATGTTGTTTTGACATCCAACTAATAACATTGATGTGGAACACAATTTGACATATTTTATTCGAATGAATTTACTCAATCATAATGTATGTATATTCATTCACTGTATATTCAATGTATATACACACACACACACACACACACAAATATGCAAAATCGTCATTAAATCATCAACTATTCATCCACCTGTCATTCCCCCAATGAACAAAGGGCACTCATCCATCCCTCTATCCATCTACTCGTACATCCATCCATATGTACATTCATCCATCTATATGTTCCTGGATAAAGTATCTGGGAAAATAATCTGATTCTCTGTCCACAGTTAAACTGAAGTTAGCCAGTAATGGTGGTGCCAGAAAGTTTTGTTATCGTACAGCAACCCCCCCCCCACTCCCATAACCGCTGTTGTCAGCGCTCACACTTGTTGTTATTGTTTCCCGCCCCTATTACCGTGGTTAGCAATTTCACCACGGTTTTAGGAAGGAGGATACCCAGTGTACCACTGGGTACCCACCTTTGTAAAACCGTGGTGATAATTTTAAAATATTATTTAGGTTTTATGAAAAAAATATTATTTGGTTTGATAAGAGGTCATGCATGTGTGTACATAGGGTAGAGGTGTTTTGCACATCCATGAGGTGGTGCATGTGGGACTTAACCAAACATTGCATTGCCCCCCAAATCCACTCTTCTGCTTTTAAGCTCCCTTCCTTATCAAGAGGAACTTTTGAAACTTTTGCACATGAAAAACAAAAATTAGTGGTCATGTATGTATGTGTATGTATGGATGTATGTATGTATGTATGTATGTATGTGTGTATATGTGTGAATGTGTTGCATAGTGTGGTTCTTTTGGAATGTAGATGATTGGTATATATTGTTGAATTAATGTGAAGTTAATGCCTTGCCAAAGAACCACATTTTCAAGAGTGTGATTTCTTTTCTTTAAGAAGAAAAGATAAAAATATAAAATTAAATATATATATATATATATATATATATATATAATGTTGTTAATAAAATTTAATAAATGTAAAAAAATTAAAAGAAGACAATGAAACCAAATAAATAAATACATAATATATTTGAATGTTTTAAGTTTACTTTATTTTTAATTTTTTAAAATCTTGTTTGTGTTAAGAATTTTTTTATTATAAAACCAAATAATATTTTTTTCATATCATGATAAGATCGTTAACAACAAAGTAATATTATTAATAATTGACATTGCTTGCAGAATAATATGCATAATTGCCTTATACAATGTATTGTAGGGTGATTAAACGGCAAGGCATCTATAGTAGAAAACATTCTTTAATATTCTTTGGTCAAATTGATAAATTAGAATTTAATAACATTTTTTTTTAAAATTCTTTACCTAAAAAAACGTAATAGAAAAATACTATAAAACCTCTATAGATATTGTAATTTTTTCTTTCAAAAAGGTAGTGAAAGTTTCTTTGTACACATAACATTGGTATAATTAAAAATTACATTAATTCATATTTGATAAAAAATAATACTAAAAAAATTATAATTATTTATTTCAATTAGTTATAAAGATATTTGATAATTTTTACAAAAAATCATATAAAATTTTAAAATAAATTAAATAAAAATCGTATTTACTTTGTCACTTTAATTGAAATACTTGCATAAATATCAAGAACATGAACTGAAAGAAGATGCATAAACCTAGGAAATTTGTGTCAAAATATAAGTGATAAAATAGAAATAAAGAAATATGTATATTAAAAAAAAAATGAAATGGCTATTGCCGAAAGACAAGGAAACTAGAGACTCTTGAATCTAGATTAGAAGCAAGAAAGGAGTTGATAAGAATAAAGAAGGCTTCATTTTTGCCTCTATATATACTATCTATCTAGGATCTATGAGGTGATGTATTATATGACCTCCAAAAACGTGTTGACTTTGCATGACATGTATCTTTATTTGTAAGGCAAATTTTCTATATGGATGCTACATAATTAGCTTGTTCTCCAAGCTACCAATACATATGGCACATGGATAGTTTATTGACCAAGTTTCTGTCCTATCAATCAACTACAAACATATGTAAAGTCTAAGCAACATCTACGAAGCTTTTAGAAAGGTTTTAGGAAGCTTTTCTAGAAGGTATTATAAAATCAATCTACTTTTATCTAATTCTATCTATTCATATTACCTAAGTAATAATTATAGTAGGTATATATCCATGATATTATCCTCCCTTCTAAGAACGAGTTTCATGAGGAATGGTGATCATATGTTGAGAAAGTCTAAGATGCGGAAAAAATTATTTGCTATGTATTTTGATCTTAGTTCTTTTTTAAGGTACTTGATAGGTCCTCTCAGCCATTGGTAATGTTCCATTCTAGGATGGAAAGACCACTGTGAGATTTGATCATTGTTGTAACCTTCGTAACTTCCTTCATATGAAATATTTGTAACACCATCAAGAGTCATGCTTACCTCCAATAAAATCACCAAACATCGAGAGTCTTTTCTTAGGTCATGATACCAAATGTATTGTATCTTGCCATCTATTCGAAAATGATCATGTTTTTCTTGAAGGTATTTATTCCTATTATGTCATCTTGAAGTTTAAGATAATTGCAATGTTTTGTCCAATAAGTTAACAAATAATGGCTCTTGAGTTGAACCTTCTAGTTGTTGGTTCTCCATCTTTTTAATGCCACAATTATACACAAACTACAAACAAGAATAGAAGATAGAATGCAATCTTTCTTAAATTATGTTTCTTTTATAGCAAAGCTTTGCTATCCTTTATTTTAGTTGTGATGGATGTTATTGATGAAAAGCCTCCATTGTCTTTCTTGCATTTGTAAGATTTTTTATTGGCTCCCATGTGCATTCACTAATATCATATCCATACCAATTGATAAGATATTTCAACTTATTTTGGTGTCGCCTTGAGTCTAGAACTTCTTCCACTTTAAATTCTTTATTATTGTCCACTTCTATAGAAGTAGGTGGGAGTTGTCTTCTTCTTGGTATATTCACACTCTTATATGATTCAAGGAAAGATATGTGGAATATAGGATGGATTTTCATTGACTCTAGTAGATATAATTGATAAGCAATTGGATTGAATTGTCTACAAATAGGAAAAGGTTCAAGCTTGCAGTAGTCCAACTTATT